CTCGAACCGAGAACTTTCGATCTTGCGCGCGAACGCAGTCTCATACTAGGACGGAACATCTGTCCACTTCCAGCGCTTCTTCCTTATTTCTTCCTCCGCTGGGATCTGGTTTTTTGTTCTCTCCCACAGTAGATTGTTGCTAATAGTGTCCGGCCAACTCCTCCTGCAGTCTCTCCGGGGGCTAGTGCCGGTCCCAAGCCCGGATAAAGGAGGAGGGTTGGGCATGGGTTTAGCGACCCCATCTCGTAGAAAACTAACTCGCTAAAACAACACTAACCACAAAAAATTGTTCAAACCATCTAATATATATATCAACGAAAATCGAACCTGGAAAATATTTCTTCTTTTATAGACAAAGGTGGATGTTGATCAGCAGTGGAATTCAGGATGCGCGTCTCTCGCCTTGCTTTGGAGTTGCCAGCTGGATTCACCTACATCCAAGTTGAAGTTTACTCCGGTACTCGGAACCATTTTTTTCGAATGCTATCGCGTTATCCATTCAGCTACTGAGTCCAGATAGCCACTAGTTTGTGAGGATTCAAACAAATGATACAAAATGAATTTCCTCTTTTATTCCAAGCATAATTAGGACTTAGAACTCGTTTTTAAAATACTCCAACCTAATAGTCTAGTACTAATGTCTCTCATTGTAGTACTGAGTGAATCCTTTAGACATCACTAATTACTTAAGAATTATAGATATATCATGTTGATAAATGGGTAATTGAATAAAACCTAATTTCACTGATTCCTTTCAATCACCTTCAACCACTAGCTCAAATGAAAACATAATCTTTACCATCTTATGTTATTTAGATCAGTGGTTGGATCAATAGTCATCAATCAGCACTGAGGTTTAGCTCAAAAAGATGGAAAGTATTATTATGCAACAAGAAAGGTTAAAGCCTACCCGGTATTGATTTATTTCTTAATAAAACATAGTACACCGTTATTCCCAATGTTAGACTGATGAAGTTTATCAATCAATCAAGTTATCAGTGTGTGTGTATGTGTGTGGAGGGGTATGGAAAGTGTTAAATTGCTTGGTGTATTCTACATACTGATCTCAGTTAGACAATCAAAGATGGGATTCATTCTAATTTTTTCCAACCTCTATATGATCTTTAAGCTGAAGATCTAATCATCTGAAAGTTAGTCCAGTATCTATAAACTACTGGACTAGATTGGTTAAAAATTGAATTGGATTTTTGATACATTCATTCTACTTCCTACAAAATCGTAAGATTATAAATTATATTCTCTGTAGGTTGGTATGGAAGCTCAAACTGAAGTACATACATACGAAGTTCTACGTTGTTACTGACTGACTGACCGACTGACTATAGGTTGACAGGAGTGTATACTTGGTTATCAATTGTTAATTAGGATCGAAACACCTATCAATCTTTCTTTCGTTTTTCACCTCTTTCTTCTCAATTGATGTTAAGTTGTATTGGAATTAATCATCAATAATCTACAGTTTATTGTATATTAGATTGAAGATAAATGAAAGACGAAGGAAAAAAACACCACTGGTGAAATATAATCTTCAGTCACTTGGTATTGTTTACTTTTATATTTCTCATTGCACAATCATGTAGCTACCAGAACTTAGTAGCTAAGTAGATAACGCAATAGCATTTGAAGCGAACGGTACTGAGTTCGAGACCTGTGGTGGATAGCAACTATGGGATACAGGTACATCCAGCTGACGTGTCCCAAATAGGATGAAATACCCCTCTTACATTCCTTTGCTAACCACTATCTATCTTTGTTTATAATCTACAGTGTTTATTTTCAACTCAGATGTAGATTCTTATGTTGATATTACTGGGCCTTATTTTTTTATTTCTAACATATAAAAACAATAAATGAAAACAAATGAATCAATATTCAATTATAATAATCATTTTCCTAGGCTTCTCATTAAAAATTTATTCATTTTTAGATAGTAAGAGTAGTAGTAGTAGCAGTAGTAGTAGTAGTAATATCAGTAGTATGTTTTTCTTTTCTCCCTTTTGTCTTCACTATCCAACTAATACATTTTTAATGAAGACTATAATTATCTGGTCAATAATATTGGGATGATGTTAAAATGAATGATTGATTTCGACGTTTTTCCTAAAAGGAAATAGTCTTTCTCATTTATTTCTTTGTAAGACTTCATTAGTTCCTCCCCCCCTTCCTTCTTACTCCTCCTTTGTTGATACTAATTGACTGTGATGGAGTTTTATTCTCTGAGCTGGATGATTTGGTCGTGGAGATTTCATCGTTCTTCTGAACGACATCATCCTCAGCACAAACTTCAAATAGAAGTGAAATGTTCGAATTTCTCCATTAGTGTTTCACAGCTTGTTCTGTACACGATATTGATTGGTTCTCATTGACGATGAAATCTATACGACCAAACCATCCAGATCAGAGAACAAAACTCTATCAAAATCATCCAGCTGAGCTACAAATCTTCTCTACCATCTCATTAATTGACTGTAATTAATCCATTCTATTGAATAAGTGAATAGTGATTTGAAACAAATAGATGGTTAAGGAATATAATGGTAATTAAGGAGTTAGTTATTTAATTTCAAATCTTGAAATGAATATCAACTTGATAATCAAAGGATATTTAACTGATAATGTTAAAGTAGAATGAATTGCGTGCTCTGAATATCATTGTTAAAGATCTTCTGAGTTCATTCACATTCTCTAGTGAATATTCATTGGTAAGATTTATCGTGTCTTTGAACTAATATATATATACAGTATTGTGTTAGTGATCACATTGTTGCATCTGTCTATCTCTTTCCTTGGACAATTGACACACACAGAGAGAGAGAGATAATTGATATTCATGGATAATTTCTATCATTAAATTATGTCAAGTGAAAAATTATTGATTGTTAATAGGTACTAAGTAATTGATTCGTTTTAGCTCAAGACTTCTCAGCAGTATGAACCCCGTAATCATACAAAAGACTCAATTCAACATCTTCATATCCCTTAATGACCATAGTACAACCAATCTACTGAGTAGGAATCAAATAAGGAAAATTTTCTCATTTTAACTGACTTATTAATGTAGAATGATCCTCATTCAATGTCTCATCATTTCTAGTTAGTAAATAGTTACTACTTACTTACTTACTTACTTACTTACTTACTTACTTACTTACTTACTTACTTACTTACTTACTTACTTACTTACTTACTTACTTACTTACTTACTTACTTACTTACTTACTTACTTACTTACTTACTTACTTACTTACTTACTTACTTACTTACTTACTTACTTACTTACTTACTTACTTACTTACTTACTTACTTACTTACTTACTTACTTACTTACTTACTTACTTACTTACTTACTTACTTACTTACTTACTTACTTACTTACTTACTTACTTACTTACTTACTTACTTACTACTTACTTACTTACTTACTTACTTACTTACTTACTTACTTACTTACTTACTTACTTACTTACTTACTTACTTACTTACTTACTTACTTACTTACTTACTTACTTACTTACTTACTTACTTACTTACTTACTTACTTACTTACTTACTTACTTACTTACTTACTTACTTACTTACTTACTTACTACTTACTTACTTACTTACTTACTTACTTACTTACTTACTTACTTACTTACTTACTTACTTACTTACTTACTTACTTACTTACTTACTTACTTACTTACTTACTTACTTACTTACTTACTTACTTACTTACTTACTTACTACTTACTTACTTACTTACTTACTTACTTACTTACTTACTTACTTACTTACTTACTTACTTACTTACTTACTTACTTACTTACTTACTTACTTACTTACTTACTTACTTACTTACTTACTTACTTACTTACTTACTTACTTACTTACTTACTTACTTACTTACTTACTTACTTACTTACTTACTTACTTACTTACTTACTTACTTACTTACTTACTTACTTACTTACTTACTTACTTACTTACTACTTACTTACTTACTTACTTACTTACTTACTTACTTACTTACTTACTTACTTACTTACTTACTTACTTACTTACTTACTTACTTACTTACTTACTTACTTACTTACTACTGTTACTCCTCGTGGAGGAATATCGGCCACCCACGAACATTCTCCATCCAACTCTGTCCTGTACAATCCTTTCCAATTGTTTTCAGTTGATATTCATTCTTTTGATGTCTGCTTCCAATTCTTGACGCAGTATGTTCTTTGATAATCCTCTTTTCCATTTCTCTTCAGGATTTCAAGTAAGCGCTTGCTTTGTGATGCAAGTTGTTTGCTTGTAGCTCTTCTAATGTTATTACTGCCGATCCCAAGCCCGAGTTAAGAAAGAGAGTTAGGTATAGGGTCAGCAATCCCAGTAAATAATAGTACTTACATAACTCAGAGACTTTTTTAAATTTTAGAATTCATTGAATACTTTTGTAACATTGGCATTCATAAATGATGGAATTGAACTGTTTCTTTATACTATAGACATTGTCTTCAAAAGTTTGATCAGTTTCATTTGTCTTTGTATCCTCGTTGACTGTCTTATTTGGTTGGTTTCTGTCAATTTGATTGGTTGATTTTTGTAATGTAGATTGATAAATATGATCTACGTCTAAATGTCTATTTCATTCATTGGAATAATGAGTCAATTGAAGCTAGACCACCATCGGAAACCTGGAAGTACTGGATGGCCGTTTCATCCTAGTATGAGACTCCTCAGAAGTGCGTTTCCACGATCCCGAACCCCGCGAGATTCGAACCCATGACCCATCAGTCTCGCGCCAGGCACTTAATCAACTAGACCACTGAGCTGGCATTCAACGGTGTTAATGTCTAACTCCAACCAATCCACAAAATTAAGTCATCATTTCTTAGTAAGTATCCAGTTAAAATTACTCTTTGATATACATTAACTTCTATTTATTATACATTGACCATTGCCTTTACATTCTATGCTTTGTTTTTTCTTAACAAAATTAGGCACTATTAAACTCTGCATTAAAGGATCAATTGGCTGAATTAACACGAAAATTAGGTGAAATTGAAAAACGTCAGGTTAGTTTAAAAGTCCCGTTAATAGTTTCTATTCAAGTATTAACATAATTCATAATCACTATCATATTAAATGTAATTTGTGAAGTGAAGAAAATCAATATAACGGTCTAAGAATACAAATGGATTGAATTCACTTGGTATTGTTTACTGGAATCTTCCCATTGTTGTTTAAGGCTACAATTGATCAGTCTCTTATCGACATATGTGCATACTGTGCGTATTGCCTTAAGTCGCAAGCATTGTGAGCAAAGATGGATAGTGGTTAGCAGTTGAATCAAGGACGCATGTTTCGTGCTATTTGGGACGTGCATCCAGAGTTGATGTTCACTCTGGGACTCGAACCTAGTAACGTTCACTTCAAACAGTTTCAGTACAGTTTCCAGAGAAAAAAAACCTATAACTTCGCTTTAATTGATTGAAAGACACAATGTTATCGTCGTTTACTTCTTTTTAATGAAGACTTCATGCAATGAATGGATAAATAAATCTTCATTCCTTCTCACCTTTTCACTGAACGCTAAATAATCATATTGTCAGTGATTCATAGAATGATAGAAGTTTCTATTGTGTTTAATGCTGATGTTGTCTAACTCCATTATAATCAGATGATATTGATACAAATAAAATAAATATTATCTTATTTGAACATCGATTCTAGAATGCAGGTACATCCAGCTAACGAGCCCTAAATAGGACGTAATGCGCATCCTCGATTCCACTGCTAACCACTATCCATCTTTGCTTAAAAATAACTTTGTATATGTTCTGTCAATTATACACCTTTAGAATAACAGTTTATCAAAGAAAATCGAATATGAATTACATTTAGGATGCACACATTCCATACATGTTAATGTTGATAAGCAAAAACGAAAGATGCTGAGATTATATAATGTATTGGAGTTCGATTATACACCGACTTAGAGAATAGTAAGCTGACTTCCTCTTTCATAACCATCGAAGAAATACAGGAAGCAGAGAGAGATCTATGTATCATGATATAGAAATGTAAAACATGATCAAGGTTACCTGTGAGTAATTTGACAAGGTCAAATATATGATTGACAATTAATGAAAAGATAGAGATAATTTACCATCAGTTTGGAGTTGTGGTTATTGTCAGATTTCATAGAAATCATGAACTGACCAATGTTAGACCAACGTTGAAAACCTAGAAACACTGAACGACCATCTCATTCTAGTATGGTGATCCTCATCAATGTGCACTCACGGTCCCGTACATGGGGCCTGGACCCAAGACCTTCAGTTTTGTACAAAAGAGCTTAACCTCTAGATAACTGAGCCGGCATCCAACAGTATTGGTGTCCAACTGAAGAGTTTCATGCTATAATAAAACGACCATCCAGTGTTTCCAAGTTTTCAATCGTGATCTAACTTGAATCGAATCGTGAATTCAACCATGAAAAAACTACAACCTCCAGAAATCCCTATATATATGTTAATTAATTAATTAAACTTAACTCCGCCAATCACAATTGACGGAGAAATTCGGAAGATGTAAAAACCTTTACATATCTGGGCAGCATCATTGATGAACATGGTGGATCTGATGCGGATGTGAAAGCGCGGGTCAGTAAAACAAGAACAGTGTATTTACAACTGAAGGACATCTGCAACTCAAAACAACTGTGAACCAACACAAAGGTTAGGATTTTCAATACAAATGTCAAGACAGTTCTACTGTATGGGGCGGAAACTTGGAGAACCACGAAAGTCATCATCCAGAAGATACAAGTGTTTGTTAACAGCTGTCTGAGCAAAATACTTCGGATTCGTTGGCCGGACACTATTAACAACAACATACTATGGGAGAGAACAAACCAGATCTCAGCGGAGAAAGAAATTAGGAAGAAACGCTGGAAGTGAATAGGACACACATTGAGGAAAGCATCGAAATGCGTTACAAGAAAAGCCCTCACATGGAATCTTCAAGGCCAAAAGAGAATAGGAAGACCCAAGAATATATTACACCTAGAAATGGAGACAGATATGAGAAAATCGAAGAAGAATTGGATGGAACTAGGAAAGAAGGCCCAGTAGAGAATGAGTTGGAGAATGCTAGTCGGTGGCCTATGCTCGATTAGCAGTAACAGGCGTAAGTAAGTAAGTAAGTAAATTTATTAATTAAACTTATCACAATTGTATTATTATTATTATTATTATTATTACTTTCTTTTTATGCTAAAGAATCAAGAAGCAGCTCTTTTACAAAATGTTGTTCATATGGATGCATTACGTGGTTTAGTATTTTGGCATACATTAGGCAAATCAATTACTGGAGTAGATTATTTAACTGCTTATTCACAAGTCAATACTACTAACAATAATAATGGTAATGGTAATGGTAAATCACATCATGTCAATACTATTGATAATAATCTAATGAAAGAGGAATCAAATCGTTTAACAAAGTGTTTACCAGAAGAATTTGTAAGTCAATATTTTATTCTTTATAGAATTGCATCCTTGATTTTGACATTGATTATAATGAATGATTGGTTGCTATGTTGGTTTTTTTTTATTTCTCTAAAGTAATTCATTCCCCCTTTTTCATTTGAATTTCAACAAACTACTTGGAAGTGGGTTATTTTCAATACAAAAAAAGACCACTGAGCCGGCATCCAGCAGTGTTAATGTCTAACTTTAACCAATCCACGAAGTTGCGCCACCGTACACCATTGTCTTCAGTGAGTTGGATGCCGGCTCAGTGGTCTAGTGGTTAAGTGCTCGCGTGCGAAGCCAGTAGGTCCTGGGTTCTAGCCCCGTGTGGTGCGGGATCGTGGATGCGCACTGCTGAGGAGTCCCATACCAGGACGAAACGGCCATCCAGTGCTTCCAGGTTTTCAATGGTGGTCTAGCTTCAACTGACTCATGATTTCAACCTGTGAAAATTTCTAAAATTCTCCACAAAACCCATTCTGATAGTAATTTTAATAGTTGAGTTCATGAGTCAACTGAAGCTAGACCACCATGAAAAACCTGGACGCACTGGATGGTCGTTTCGTTCCAGTATGACACTCCTCATCAGTGCAAATTCATGATCCGGCTCGCGGGATTCAAATCCAGAACCATCTGTCTCGCGCGCGAACGCCTAATCTCTAGATGACTGAGTTGGCATCAAACGGTGTTAATGTCTAAATTCAACCAATCCATGAATGTATTTAGTACACTGGGAGCAAAAACAGCCTTGGCCATGCAAATGTCGTGTTCATTCTTAATTAGACGTAAACATTCTTGGTTGTTTGGCGCTATATTAAAAGAAATAATGAAATGATAATAATATGTGTTGTTATGAAAAAGATAAAATAATGAATAAGATCATCTTGTAGTGAACAAGTACACAAGAGAAGTTAATGGAATGTATTCAAACACACAATAAACAGAATATCTTAGAAAAATCTAAGAACCATACAGTAAATACATCATTTGCAAAATGTTCATCAACTCTAAACAAACTTTATTATTCCTTCATTTCCAATACCAATCAGTTTCTGTTCTCTTTCTTTTCTCTTTGATCTTTTCAACATTTTGCCGCTAGGCATTTTGATTTCGATCAGTGATACATAGTACTTATATCTGCCGTCATCAGTAGCACATACACTATAGTGTTGTTTAATCATATCTGTCTTAACATATAGAATTCGATGGTTAATTAACTTTCATATCAATGTAAACAATCTTTCACTGATTGAAATCATGAGTCAATTGAAGGTAGATCACCATGGAAAACCTGTAAGCACTGGACGGCCGTTTCGTCCTAGTATGGGACTCCTCAGCAGTTCGCATCCATGACCCCGCTTCCTGCGAGATTCGTACCCAGGACCTACTGTTTTCGCGCCCGAGCACTTAATCACTAGACCAATGAACCGGCATCCAACGGTGTTAATGTCTAGTTTCAACCAATCCACGAAGTTGCGCCACCGTATACTATTGTCTTCAGTGAGTTGATTTCTCACAATAGACCTGGATGAACTCCACTGGTAACGGCTTCTCACAAGAAACTCCAGGAGTATCTCTTGAAGTCAGTCACTCGTGAGCAGATGATTATTATCAGAAGAGGTTTTGTGGAGATTTTGGAAATTTCACTGATTGAAATCATGAGTCAATTAAAGCTAGATCACCATGGAAAACTTGGAAACATTGGACGGCCGTTTCGTCCTAGTATGGGACTCTTCAGCAATGCGCATCCACAACCTTAATTTTTGTCTTCTTCGAATCTTTAAGCCCTACTAAATATCACTTATTTATACATATATATCTTACGTCATATTAAGGAATACCAACAATTTATAAGATAATGTTAATCACTAAAAATAAACGATTCCATCCGATGTGTATAGATCAGTAGACAAAAAGAGGTGTATGTATGTAAACAAAAAAAAAGAAAAAAAATTTGACAAGTAATTACAAAACAATTACACGATTTCAATGGTTAAGATCATAAGTCAGTTGGAGATAAACCACCATGGAAAACATGGAAGCACTGAACGACCGTTTCGTCCTATTGTGGGACTCCTCAGCAGTGCGCATCCACTACCTCGCCCCCTGCGAGATTAGAACTTAGGACCTACTGGTTTCGCTGGCTCAGTGGTCTAGCGGTTAAGTTGTATTCAATATGTGTTAACATATATATGTGCATATGTTTGTATTGTAACTGACAATAACAAGAATGTACAAATGATTTATGATCTGTTCTCTTATGTTTATAATTTTCACTGTGGTATTTCTTCTCCATAGTTTTTTTTAATTTTTTTTTCATGTTTATATTTAAAGACTAACTAAGGTATTTGTTAATTATACAAATATTTACATGACATTTAAATGATGAATGTTCGTTTTTCCGACATGAATAAACAAGATTGAATATTAAAGATCACTAGAAATCTTATATATTTTTTAATATTTAAGATCATGAATCAGTTGAAGCTAGATCACCATGGAAAACCTGGATGCAGTGGACGGCCGTTTCGTCCTATTGTGGGACTCCTTAGTGACTGGCTTCAAGAGGTATATCCTGGAATTCTGATGAGAATTAGTGACTAGTGGAGTCCAATCAGGTCTGTTGTGAGATAGTAACTCATTAAAGACAATGGTAAATGTGTCGCTCACTTTCGTAGATTAGTTGAAGTTAGACATCACCAAAAATGGAAACGGCCGGCTCAGTGGTCTAGTGGTTAAGCTCTCACGTGTGGGACCGATAGGTCTTGTGTTCGAATCTCGCGAGGCGAGATCGTGGATGTGCACTACTGCGGAGTCCAACAGTAGCACGAAACGGCCGTCCAGTGCTTACAGGTTTTCCATGTTGCCCTAGCTTCAACTGACTCATGATCTTAGCCACTGAAATTACTATGATATCCACAAAATCCATCTGATATATATATATATATATATATAGATATATATATATATGTTTAGATAATCTTGTTTTAAATGAGATCATAAACTGATCAATGTTAGATTATCATTGAAAATCTGGACGAATTAGATGATCGTTTCATCCTACTATGAAGCTCCTCAGCAGAGAGCATACACGAACGTGTACGTGGAATTTCTGAGGAATTCTATGCTGGAACGAAATGGCCGTCAAGTGATTTTAGGTTTTCAATAATAGTTTAACATTGATCAGTTTATGATCTCAATTATAGGTAGCCAACTAGATTTTAGACTGGAGTCGGTTAATCTGTACACTGATATCAACTCATTAAAAGTTATATGTGAGCTGTTGTGTTACATGGAAACATGATCATTATGCTTATGCCTGATGATCTAACAACAACTTTTCAGTGAGATAAAATTTACATCTGTCAATATTCTAGCTAGTAAATGAAAGCTATCGAATCTGATATTGATTTTCTTTCCAGATTCGTAGCAAAAGTAATCCAATTGAAGCTTGTTATGTGATTAAGTCAGTCCAAGATTATGGAATCAGTTGACCTGAATTCACATTCCTAACACGGATTCGTAATAATATGAAATCAAAGTATTATTTAGTAAAACGATACGAAATAAATATATATGATCAATTTGTTTATTTTCTGTTTATCCATCATCTAGCTTGAATGTCCAGATCCGGATCTATCGTCTACACTTCGAAAACTTGGAAATGTAGCCTCTGGATTTGATTCAGTAGTTAATCGAATTGAACAACTTGAAGTAAATACACTTAAAGTTTTACTAGTGTTTTTATTTTATCTTCGTTTTATTTGTTATTACTAATTTTACTACTTATAAGTAGTAACTCAACTATAGAGTACTTTAGCGACAATTTCACTTTCTACTAACCAGATTATTAACTTTTCCTAAACGAATAATACAAATGACCTACATCCATGACCGGAAGTTCTGATAGTGAATGGTCAACACAAATCTAACTAATCACCAATAGTCAATCAGAACATGAAAAGAATAAACTGATTTACGTTGTACATTCTACGAATGAATAGCTCATCATAACTCATCGGTGGCCTGCTTGAATATCTGGGCTACCTGTTCCTCCCATCTAGATATCTGTTTTCTGGTTTGTTTTAACACATCATTATGTATATTGAGCTCACAACCTATTCAGGCGCATTTATGAAAAGCTTACAACCTTTCGCTATACGGGTTACAAAAAGGTACAATCAACGACAACATGGTGGATGGCAATATGCACTGAAACGAATGAACATTATTCATATGTCGATTACCGAACTCCTAACATCTAATTGGCCACCACTCAATATTTGTCGACCATTTGGGAGTGTGAATATTCAATCTTACTGATTATTCTAGTATATATTACGTCAGTTTTGTATTTCTTCCAAAAGAATAGTTTATTTTTAATGATTTAACTGATAAGATGTTTATCAAAAGACGGTGAGATCTTTGAACGACGCCAAAGTGATATAGAGAGTGCTTATCTACTTACTAGGACTAAATGTCGGTTATAAAGCAGTTTAAAGAATACGGATTAGGATTCATAGTTGATGGTTATGGTTAGGAATTCAAATTTATAGTTTTTCATCATGAATTGACATCAGCTATAATGTCAAACTGTAAATTTACCAATTGAATGAATTTCGTGCCAAAATCCAAGATCGGCTATCTCAAATCTGATTGGTTCATCCATAAAATGTAGTCTTGCACAGAATCAACATTATTATACACCAATAAAATAACTTTCATCTTCAGATTATTCGCAATAAATAATTGAACAGTAATGGTAGAGATAATCAGTAATCTTGACAAGCTAAACTCCATCATCTGTGGGAATCATCAAACTGAATTAATATAATCAATATTGAATGGAAACTAGACTGTTTGAAGTGTATCATTTGATAGCTTAATGTTAGATTGTTACCTAGAAAATTTTAAAATTAAACTCCAAGAACAAGGCAAAGATGGATAGTGACTAGCAGTGGAATCCAGGACGCGCGTTTCGTCCTGTGTGGGGCTCTTCAGCTGGATTTACCTGTATCTCAGAGTTGATGTTCACTCTGGGACTCGGACTCAGTACCGTCATCGCGTTATCCACTTAGCTATTGAGTCCTGATAGCCACTTGCTTGTGCTATGGGTTGAAGTTTAATCCACTTGGTATTGTTTTACTTGAATCTTCCCATTGATGTTTTAGGACTGAAATTGATCAGCCTCTTATTGGCATATGTGGACATCAACTTTGTGATGGAGGTACATCCAGCTGACGAGTCCCATGCAGGACGAAACGCGCGTCCTGGATTCCACTGCTAGTCACTATCCATATTTGCTTATAATGCTTGTAAATTAAGGCAATATCGAGGCATACGCACAGTATGTACATATGCCAATAAGAAACTGATCAATTTCAGTCCTAAAACATCAATGGGAAGATTCAAGTAAAACAGTACCAAGTGAACCAAGAAGAAAGAATTGAAATTATTCAATACTGGTGGAGAAGATTTGTACTGATGATGTCATTCAAAAGAATGATGAAAGCTCCATGACCAAACCATCCAACACAAAGAACAAAACTCCATCAAAAACTATTCAGTACTTCACACTGAGAATATCTTTTACGTAATCGATGCCAACAACAATACTAGTATAGTCCATCTTTCATTTTATTGAATCTGTTGAATAGTTTTAATAATGAATTAAGTAACTTCGTGTGATGAATATAAAGAGATGTTTATGGATTTGTAGTGTGGCGTCGAGTTGCGGTTGACTATGATCACCACTACAAGAAGGTTGCGTACCAGATATCAGAAGGTGATTGGAGGTTGTAGCGAGATATATTTGTTGGCGATCTCGTGGTATCGAAAGAATATCGAGATCGTGCCAGAGGAGTACAGGCCGAATCACTGAGCCAACGTAAGTGCGTGCAAGATCACAATCAACGGAAGCAAGTATGTCTTTAGTACAGTTAAACAAGCAAGTACAATAAAACAATCACTGGTACAATTGGTTATAATAATAATTATTTCCATTAAACCAATCGCATTCTCTTGATAAAAGTACGTCACTACAGATCTATGGATGATCTTCATACACTGGATGCGACTAGAAACATGTAGTTATCCGATCAAGATATAACACACAATTGATTGTTATTCTGGAACTTTCTATTGGGTTCCTACTCACCAATGAATGGATGAAGTGTTTTCAACGTTATCCTAGATCCTAAAAAGAACGATCAGAAGCTAGTAACATTTAATAATTAGAAACAACCAATTATGTTGACTTTGATTATTTTCTTTTGAATACTAAGAAGGCTTTAAGAGCAAATAATAACAGGTAAAGACTAACGCAAATGACAACAAGAAACTGTAATGTTAGTCAGTCCAAGGCAATCTACAATAGGGTCTTGCTTTACATAGTTTTTTTGTGTTAATTGGTGTTTATATGGAATGTGTTTCTTTATTCCATTCGGATCTTACATGAAAATGACAGCTTTAATAGCATGAAAACTACATGAAGTAGGGATTCTTTCCAACCGTTTTGAATTATCTAACATCATTACTCATTGATAACGTGTCTATGATAATTTCCACCTTACTAATTCAAATGAAGATCTATTACCAACTGGATACTTTCCTAAAATGTTCTAGTAAGGCAGAGAGTAAGAGGAGTCCACGATCCCTCTAAAAATGCTCTCATATGGTCACATGTATACAACCACTGTCAGGGAAGTCCTACTCACTGCCATCTTGTAGAAGGGGTATTTACACGAAATTGAGAAGACGAAAAGAGAATGTCTGGCACTCAAACCGAGTTGGTGGTTATGGAGGATCCATCTAGGGAATTTCGGAAACCCCAATTTCAACTCCATGATATTCATAGACTTCAGGATCGTGAGAGAAAAATATGGCGTATGAACCGATTGCTGGCCGTCGGCTACCATGGGACTGCATCTCCTAACGTTACTTCACTGCCTTATCGATTAGATTTAATAAATCACCTGTTTCGGTTTAAGCACCCAGGTAGTATTACGGCCCTGGCACAAATCAGTTAACAAACTGTGGTGCATATATATTTGGTGCCCATATGTACCACTGTTTATGTGTTTAAATAAAACCAACTGATTAAACTAATCCACAAACAGGTAAAGTCAAAATATTACCGTTCGTTAACTTAAATCCAATAGCATGATAAGTTTAAAAAGTACACATAATGACGTGTGCATTTGTTAAATCGTTAAGAACTGACATGCTTTATATCTGAATGTTTATATATCAACTTCTTAACTGTTTTCTAATTCCTAGAAGTATTCTACTCTTGATGTTCCGATTAGAAAGAGTTTTACTATCAAGCTTAATTCATACATAAAAAGAGGCTTTTCAAAAATATAACGAAATTAGTCATATCATTGATTAACATTTCATTCAATCAAGTTAATGATAGTATAATCCATCATTTCCCTTTGAGAATTCTTTTAAAAGTTTCTAAAGAACTAATATCTCTTGAAGTATTTCTCTTAATATATTCCTGTTTTCTGAAAACTTTGGCGCGACTATAATTTATGAATGAACCAATCAGATATAAGCTAAAGAGTTACGAATTTTGGCGCGAAATTCATCCATACATTTGACTAAATAGAGTTTTAGCATTATAGCTGATATCAGTTCATGATGAAAACCGTAAATCTAATTCTTAACCGTCACCATCAACTGTAAATGAGAATTCTAACTGTTTTATAACCATCATTTAGTTTTAATCTGTAGGTGTCCACTCTCAAAGTCACTTCTTCCTCACTCAAAAGTCGTCCATAAATTATAGTCTCATCAAAACTTTATCAAGGAATTACCTAATAATAATCTTCATAATTAATTACGCTAGCAATTAAACTGAATAAAGAATAAATAAAAATTTGAACCATCCAAAATGATTATCCTCTTTTTCATGGAGTTTTGTTCTCTGAGTTGGATGGTTTGATCTTGGAGTTTTCATCGTCTATCTGAAGTTTGTACTGATGATGTGGTTCAGAAGAGCCGATGAAAGCTCCAAGACTAAACCATTCAGCTCAGAGAACAAAACTTCATCAAAATCATCTACCTGAGCTACAAATCTTCTTCATCATGATTATCATCATTAAGAGAAAAGACAATGCAAGTTATGCTGGATAGAATATAGATTAACGTTTAACATTGTGTTGCAAAAACATTCGGAGATTGTTCGTCAGTTATTCTTAGGTGACACTGAACAAATCGATAAAGAGTATGATTAAAACAAAAAAATGTATTTAAAATATTCTAATGAAAAGTACTATATGTAAATGGTTTGTCACGTATGATCAACATTTTGTTAATGAGTTAGTATAGGTGGCTTGTTTGAATATCTGGTCTACTTGTTCCTGTCATTTAGATATTTCAACAAGTTGTTTTTGTTTGGTTTAACATATCATTATGTTTGTTAATCAAGTAACCTATTCCAGTGCATTTGTGAAAAGTTTACAATATTTTACTGTACAACTTACAAAAGAGCCTATTCAGAGATATCGTGGTTGGTGGTAATATGTAGCGAAAAGAATGTACATTATTTAGATGTCAGTTGACTAGACTGCTAACTTCTAATTAGCTACCACTCAATATTTATCGTTAGGATCTATCAAGAAATAAAAAACAGAAGCTTGTTTAAATAATTTGTGCTGATTGTTCTATGTTCTACCAAACTCTGCTACATTAAGAATAATAGTTTGTCTCACATATGAAGAGAACAGCCTTACTTACTTCTGTTACTCCAAATGGAGCATAGGCCGCCGACCAGCATTCTCCAACCCACTCTCTACTGGGCCTTCTTTTCTAGTTCCATCCGATTTTCGTTCATTCTTCTCACGTCTATCTCCATTTCTCGGCGTAATGTATTCTTTGGTCTTCGTCTTCTCTTTTGACCTTGAGGATTGCATGTGAGGACTTGCTTGTGACGCAGTTTGGTGATTTCCTTAGTATGTGTTCTATCCACTTCCAGTGCCTCTTTCTGATTTATTCATCCGCTGGGATCTGGTTCTCTCCTACAAAAAACTAACTCACTAAAAACAACGTTAACCACAATGAGAACAGCCTAGAAACCTACTTAGTCAGTGACTTAATCAACTAATGTTTCATCTTAGCATAGTCATTTCTAACTTGCTTCTCAACAAACTTCTATACCAATCAAGGTTTATATATGTTACGTAATTTGACATGGATCAAATTGACGTAAACATAGAAAGTGATTTTTCCTATAAGGGAAACTATTATTTAGGAAACCAATTTCTTATTTCAGATCTCTGTTCATCAAGACACAGATTTAGAAAAGGTTAGTTAATGTAAATACATGTGCACACATCCATAAACGGAATGTTTTATAACTTACATGCACACAATCACCAATACATATTATTGTACCTAGCACTACGTTATAGCTGACTGGCTGATTGACTATCTTTCTTATTACTGTCATTATTGTTGTAATCTTTTGTTGTAAATCATTTGTGTCGTTTTCCATATAACAGTTATTTGTCTTGAATTGACATCAGTTTGAGTGTGATTAGAAATCTGGGCATATTGGATATTTGTTTGACTCTGTTTTACAACCCTATCAGTCTATACCTGAAACAATACTAAGGGTGTGATGCGTGCTACTTATATTGATAAAAGTAGTATATTATTGCAAGTCAGGAATGTAATGTCTGGCAGCAGAAGATGGGGGAAGATCAAGAAAGCAAGAGTGGGAATAGAATGCAAGTTGTATGAAAATGCAAGGACAATGAAGTCTGAGGCATTTTGAGACAATTGGTGGACATTCTGCAAATTAACGATTTAATATTTGATTCTCAGATTTTATTGAGATGCTCTGTAATGTTGGGTTAAATACAATTCGATTGTCCCCACCCGTGTTCTGTTCACTATAAGAGAATCAGAACATCTAGGCTCGTAGGAAGAATGTTACCGTTTAAATCAATGAATTGGAATTTAACGGTCTACATTCCTAACTTTAATCATTATGTGCTTGTAAATCGAGTTAGTTTCACTAATAAAAAGCTTAAAGATGGATGTCTAATGTTCTAGTTAGAAACTAACAGGATTCAGTAATGACATTGTGTAATGGTTGTGCAATATCGTAAATTGATTGGAATTAAGAGTATAAGTCACTGGATACAAATTTAATGATCTGATATTAACAAGCTCCCTACGAGATATGGAAGTTTCATTTCCGACTCCTAACAGTGTCTTAGGCGCACACTCTAGGAAAGTTTCTAACAGGAACAAGGTAATTATCAAGTCCTTGTAAATCGAGTAAACCTCAAATAGTATCTATCTTTGAATGAAATCACTTATAAATTAGAGAGATATCCAAAAAAATCTTTTAAATTATTAAGTGACGCAAGAAAAGTTCGATAATAACACAATCAACCGACTATTGAGAATGGAACAATCGAATTATGTTATTTAAACCATACATTATGTAACGGTTCATGGTTTTAATGATGTTCAACTATCATCAAAATCCCTTTCTGACATTTATCACGTGCTTAGTAGTGACTAGCTTTGAGAGGTAATTTTCTTAGTTCTTGTGAAGAGACATAACTAGTGGAGCTAAATTATATCGAATGTGAGGCAAGTATTCATCGAAGATAAAGAAAGACGGTCACGCATTGTTGTGGACTGATTAAAGTTAGATAGTAACACTATTGAATGCCGGCCCAATGGTCTAGAGGTTAAGCGTTCGCACACGAAACCAAAAGTCCTGGGTTTTATTCCCGTGTGCAGGGTTGTGAATGTACAGGTCTGATCAGTCCCATACTAGGATGAAATGGCAGTTCAATGGTAATCTAACATTGATCAGTTCATAATATCAATGAATTCCAACAATCTCCACAACCCCATACTAAAAAATAAATGTTTTGTCGATACTCAATAGTGCGTGAACACTTGATATAAGATACGGCAGCTTGAAACACTAGTATTAGACTGGATAATACAACTGAGCACACGATCGAAACACTTAGATACACAATTCTGACCTGCAATTCAACGTATCAGAAGGGGTTTGGTGGATATTATAGTAAGTTTAATAGGTCCTGAGTTAGAATCCTGTAAGGCATTATCGTGGATGCGCAATGCTAACGAGTCCCACAATAGGACGAAACGGCCGTCCACTGCATCCAGGTTTTCCATGGTGATCTGGCTTCAGTTGACTCATGATCTCAACTATGAAAATGAAAAAGTAGACAGTCGTTTATTAAGAGAATCAAGAATTCAGAATACAATAAGTGATTTAATGAAGTCAATAATAAGAGAGAGTTTACAATATTATGTACTGTGTCATATATATACATATTTCGTTCCTCTTATCAATCAATCAAAGCTCATTACTACTCGACACATTAAACCGACCAAGAAAAAACAATCGACAGAATAATCATTCATATCAAAAATGTTGAATGTTCACAAGTTAACAAACGTTGATGAATATTAAATTCATCATTGAAAGCAATCACTCACAACTATCTATCTATCTATCTATCTACCTATCTATCTATCTATCTATCTATCTATCTATCTATCTATCTATCTATCTATCTATCTATCTATCTATCTATCTATCTATCTATCTATCTATCTATCTATCTATCTATCTATCTATCTATCTATCTATCTATCTATCTATCTATCTATCTATCTATCTATCTATCTATCTATCTATCTATCTATCTATCTATCTATCTATCTATCTATCTATCTATCTATCTATCTATCTATCTATCTATCTATCTATCTATCTATCTATCTATCTATCTATCTATCTATCTATCTATCTATCTATCTATCTATCTATCTATCTATCTATCTATCTATCTATCTATCTATCTATCTATCTATCTATCTATCTATCTATCTATCTATCTATCTATCTATCTATCTATCTATCTATCTATCTATCTATCTATCTATCTATCTATCTATCTATCTATCTATCTATCTATCTATCTATCTATCTATCTATCTATCTATCTATCTATCTATCTATCTATCTATCTATCTATCTATCTATCTATCTATCTATCTATCTATCTATCTATCTATCTATCTATCTATCTATCTATCTATCTATCTATCTATCTATCTATCTATCTATCTATCTATCTATCTATCTATCTATCTATCTATCTATCTATCTATCTATCTATCTATCTATCTATCTATCTATCTATCTATCTATCTATCTATCTATCTATCTATCTATCTATCTATCTATCTATCTATCTATCTATCTATCTATCTATCTATCTATCTATCTATCTATCTATCTATCTATCTATCTATCTATCTATCTATCTATCTATCTATCTATCTATCTATCTATCTATCTATCTATCTATCTATCTATCTATCTATCTATCTATCTATCTATCTATCTATCTATCTATCTATCTATCTATCTATCTATCTATCTATCTATCTATCTATCTATCTATCTATCTATCTATCTATCTATCTATCTATCTATCTATCTATCTATCTATCTATCTATCTATCTATCTATCTATCTATCTATCTATCTATCTATCTATCTATCTATCTATCTATCTATCTATCTATCTATCTATCTATCTATCTATCTATCTATCTATCTATCTATCTATCTATCTATCTATCTATCTATCTATCTATCTATCTATCTATCTATCTATCTATCTATCTATCTATCTATCTATCTATCTATCTATCTATCTATCTATCTATCTATCTATCTATCTATCTATCTATCTATCTATCTATCTATCTATCTATCTATCTATCTATCTATCTATCTATCTATCTATCTATCTATCTATCTATCTATCTATCTATCTATCTATCTATCTATCTATCTATCTATCTATCTATCTATCTATCTATCTATCTATCTATCTATCTATCTATCTATCTATCTATCTATCTATCTACTATCTATCTATCTATCTATCTATCTATCTATCTATCTATCTATCTATCTATCTATCTATCTATCTATCTATCTATCTATCTATCTATCTATCTATCTATCTATCTATCTATCTATCTATCTATCTATCTATCTATCTATCTATCTATCTATCTATCTATCTATCTATCTATCTATCTATCTATCTATCTATCTATCTATCTATCTATCTATCTATCTATCTATCTATCTATCCACACATCTGTCTATCTATCCACGCATCTATCTATCTATCTATCTACCTATCTATCTATCTATCTATATATATATATATATATATATATATATATATATATGTTTCTTTCTTTCTTTCTTTCTCTCTATCTTTCTTCCTTTGAGGACCATTTCGTTCTTTTCTGAGAACAGAATATAAAATAATGTCAGTCGTTTAAACAATACACAATTCATAATGATCTAATGTTTATATCTTCATTGAATTGTTTTAGGGAATTATAAAACAAAAACCTGATCGTAGTGAACTAGAAGGTTTGGGTGTACCAACAGAATTATATGAAAAACTATATAGTTTAGAAGCCATTGTTAAAGAGTTAGCCAAAGAAAGAGAAAAGGTAAATATGTATATAAATTAAGAAGTAATATAGACAATGCACATAGTAACATGTGTCTCTCTCTGTGTGTGTACACTTCTATGTGTGTGTGTGTGTTTGTATATGTGTATATTAGTTCTGTGTGTCATTTCACATGTTTCAATGCACCGGTTTACTCTCATAATCAGTCAGCTAATTAATCACTTTTTATTGTTTCTATAACTGTCTCATATAATTCACCAGCTTACTATTCTAAATGTATTTGGCAATTAGTTATTATTATGATATACTTTTATCTTTAACGATCTACGTTTGTGATATGTATTTATTGTGCTGTTTTGACGGGGTTTGTTGAAGGTGGGTCGGTGTGTTTGGTTTATTGTGAGATAGTTTTGTTATTAAAATAATAAACATTGATATTATTTTCATAGCTGTATCAAAATTTACATGCTTATGCCTGTTACTTCTCGTGGAGGAACATTGGCCGCCCACTAGCATTCTTCATCCAACTCTATCCTGGACAATTCTTTCCAGTTGTTTCCAGTTACTATTCATCTTTTACATGTCTGCTTCCGAATATCTATAACAGCTTAGGTTGATTAGTTAGAAGTTCACATCAAACAACTAAGCATATGTCAAAACAGTATATTTCAAGTATTCATTCACTTCTGTATTCTGTATAGGCGTTGTATTTCCTATTATCTTATATTGAATGTTGAGAGGCTTTGTTTGTCTGAACAGATAAACTCACGCTCCACTGTGACTGCACGAAGATCGAAATAAAGACTTATACACTACTTATTTGGTTTCTTCTATCAACAGCACGACGGTTACCTAGATATCTACACACTGTGTTCTTTAGTCTTTCTCTTTTCCATTTCTTTTCAGGATGCCAAGTTAGCGCTTGATCCATGATGCAGTTTGTTGATTTCTGAAATGCACGTCCCATTCACTTCCAGCGGACATATATTGTGGACTTCATCATGAGGCAATTGCTAACTTGAAATCCTGAATAGAAACGGAAAAGAGACATAATGCGTCTGGAGTTTACTAATATCTAATTAACTGTACAAATTAACTAAACTGAATAATTTCATTATATGAATTTTATAATTATTCTAGACATTATCCTTTGTGAAATATATTGGGTATAATTTGAGAACAAGTAGGCTGATACAAACGAAAGTCTCAGAATTGAAGTATAATAAATTAAGATATTTTCCTTTAGATCTATTGTAGAGTCAAAACCAACGAAGTTTGGATGTGTTTATAATGAAATACTTATCATCAGTGGTACTGGATGATCGTCTTGATTAGTTGAAGTTGGAAATATGTACCATTCGATTTTAATGTTTAAGTTTTCACTAGGAGAGCTAAAGATAGTGACCTCTATCTCCTACTGGGTTGTTGGTGTTTACTGCTAAAAAAGCCCCTATAAGTACAAAACTATTGCTCAATAATTCTTGATCTTTCAGTGGTATATTTTTTCAACTGAGATCGATTCCTGACGAATATCTTCTTACTTGAATAATTTTTTCTGGTTAGCGTTCTTTTTTAGCGAGTTGGTTTTCTACGGGATGGGTTCACTAACCCCATGCCCAACCCTCCTCCTTTATCCAGGCTTGGGACCGGTAGTAGCCCTCGGAGGGACTCCAGGCGAAAATTAACCAGAATATTTCTTTAGGTTGCTAAAAACGTGATAATTTTAAAAGAAAACAATATAACCAACTTCCAGGTTGATTAATAAACGGACTGTTTAAAAACAATTTAAGATTGCACATAATAATCATCATCAATATAATGTGATAAACAGCTAATCATCAAATACAATCAAGTGTATTTCAATATTTAGTTAAATTGCTTTCAGTATAGAGTTGTGAAGATTATTAAGTTTTTGATTAAGATCCTGAACCGATTAATGTTAGGCCACCATTGAAAACCTGGAAGTACTGGATGGCCTTTCGTCCTATTATGAGACTTTTTAGAAGTGACCATCCGCAACCTCACATGCAGAACTCGAACCAAGGACATTCGGTCCCGTGCATGAACGCATAATATCTAGACCACTGAGCTAGCCGACGTCCAATGATGTTAATGTCTAACTTCAATTGATCCATGATCTTTTGCAATCTTTCATCCATCGTCTAAAGTAGATAAATGTCTCCATCTACCTTAGATCGATTCATGAATTCAGCTACTAAAGTTACTACAGTCTTCACTAATTTTCATTCAGATTTTGGGGGGAGAGGATATACAAGTTGAAACATTTCAGATAAATTACATTCTTATTCATCAATAATTACTGAACTACAAGCCCTCAAATGCCCTGGTACGGCCGAGAGTGGATAGAGTTAGCTCTCCTTCTTGAAATATTCTCAATCGTCCACGTGTATATAACCACTGCCAGAGAAGTCCTACTGGCTACCTTCTCGTGGTGGTGGTGTTGTTTACGAAATTGAGAAGACGCTTTAAGCGTGTTGGTGGATATAGAGGATCCACTCAAGAGAGTTGGAAAACCCTGATTCCAAACCAATGGTGTACATGGGCTCCAGTATCCTGAAGAAACAAATGACGTATGAACCTACTGTTGGTCACCGGTTACCAAGTGACTGGATCTCCTTACGTTACTTCAATGCCTTGTGGATCAGACTTTCAGGTCATAGGTTCCGGATGTGACTTCCTAAGAAAACCATCTGTTTCGATTTGGCCACCCGAGTAATATTTCAACCCTCACACAAATCGAATGATTTATGTGGCATATATCTATTTGATGCCTCCTTGTACCAATCTTTATGTGTTTAATTCAATAAAATCATAAACTGAACTACAATTGTGTAAATTTAGTGAAGTGATTGTTTGTTTGTTTTTTATACAAAAAAAAATGAAAAAGTTTTAAATCGTTGAATATTGAATTTCACTTTCCATGATCCATTACAGGCTACATGGATTTATTACTTATAATCACAATTCAGTAATGTGTATTTGAAATGTCATTTATGTTGTTCATGTGTATAGTTGGGTTTTCATTTTGTTTTTTGTTTCACTGAGTGTGTTTTATTTTATTGAAATTTGTCATTGCAGTGAGCTGAGTTAGTTTTTTGTTTGTTTGTTTGTTTGCTCTTTTATTGTTGAAAAATTCTTCTGTTTGTTGAACTACTACTAACACACCTATTTTTAGTAGTATGATATATGTCAGTTTGATTTATTGTTGGTTGATTATTATTGATAACAATCAATTGGTAATTTGATTTGCTTTTTCTTCTTCTTCTTCTTCTTCTTTGAAGATTTATGTGGATTGTGGAACATCGCCTCATATGCCTTATCCGTCTGATGTAAGTTTAGATAAAACTTATTATTGTCACGTTCTTCTAATATGTAGTAATTATTGAACCATACAATTTACTCATTGTTATAAATTGTAGCCCTGTTGTCCTATGAATATCTAATGTAATGATACAGGCAATTGGTGAACAATGAATTATCGTCCGGACCAATGACTCATAAAACAAGTACGAACAGTTTAGAGTCATTATCGGTCCTGCTTCCTGCCTAGCCCAGCCTATTAAGTGCAGAATACCAATCTCAGCCTCTGCAATATAAATCATGTATTTCAAACATACTGACTTTATATACCAATCAAACAGACCACATCGTACCATAAAATGTGAAACAACATTTGTACGAGAATTGGCCAAAAGTGGCTGTGAATGTAGGAGGTAGTGAATAATAGACAGGGCATAATTCAAGAATGGTAAATCGTTTAGTAATAGTTCATAGGTCAAAATAAGGCTTATAATAAAAGGGACATGAATATGAATAGTTTAGTTATTTAACAATTATACAATAAAAATATACGTTTAGTATTGGTCTATAAATAGATCCTAACAGTTACCATTCATTATTCTCGTCGGGATATAACATCCATCTCTTCCCAAATCACAACAACCACTGGAAGACCACAAGAGATATTTCACAACAAAAATGCACTACTAAAAACCTAGCCTTGTTATACAGAATTTTTATAAGAATTTTCCACAATCTTCTCTATTTATCCACTGGCGTCGATTGATCGGTCAGAGTGTACCGATTTGAAACTGGATTCAGTATGTATTAACTAAGAGTTAATTCTGCTAACAGATTTAATAACTTAATTTCAGTTAGTTACAAGTAAACACTGAGAAGATTTTAACATAATAACTGATCTCAATTTGTTTGAGGCAATCATTAAAAAAGTCTTACTTCATTTGTATTTTATTCTTGTTTGACCTAACTAAACTTTTTCTTCGCTATGAATTATAACATGTGTCAACAAGGAATATTCATGGTATAAATCCTGAATAGTATAAACTGTAAGTTCTACTTTCCACTACTAGTTATAACTCATCATCATTAAAATGACTATCGAATTCAAACGCTTAAGGATTCACATATATCATCAGATGTTGATTAAGATCATAAAATCGATCGATAATTGATCACTATTGAGAAACTGAAACTATTGAACAATCATTTCATCTTAATTTAAGATGGTTTCATAGACGGCACTTGTTATCCAAGACCTTTGATCTCGTACTTCTCATAATTATTCTTTAAAGTTTGTTGATTATTCAGAAGGTACAATATTCCATTTTATCATTTCGGATCATTTTTTTTTTGTAAATCTCTTTAACTTACATTAAAATAGGATAAGAAATTATTGAAAAAACTACAAAATACCATGTCAGTATTACAAGAACAAATTAATCAATTGAATAATACTGTTACTAATGTACAATCACAATTTAAAAAACTCCATGAAACTGTTAAGGTGAGATATTCGTTTATTAATAATTAAGGGATATGTATACTGTGTAACAATTTGTTCTGTTTTACTTTACGGCTGTGAAATGTGGTCATTAAGAGTTGAAGATATTCGTAAGCTATTGGTACTTGACTATCGATATCTTAGAAATGTTGTCGGCATCTGCTGGGATCATCGAATGAGTAATAGTGAGGTTAGATGCAGGGTATTAAGGAACGATGGTAAATCAGTTGATGAGGTTGTGAATCTTTATTGACTGAGATGGTTGGGCCACATGTTATGTATGCCTGAACACCGAGTACCACGACGTGCAATGCTGATTAGTGTTGGAGATGGTTGGAAGAATGTTAAGGGTGGCCAAACCAAAACTTGGTATCAGTGCTTGAAGTCACTAACTTCTAGTCTGAGCCATGTTGGTAGATGGAGACTACTTGGGGTCCGCGTGACAATCGTAACCAATGGTTAGAGACTCTTGGTGACATGGCTGAGAATCGACCAGAATGGTGTAAATGTATACACTTTCTTTCTTCGCTTAAGCCATGAGATTAAAATCACTTCATCTTTCTTTCTACGAACTAATTCTTTCTCCCTGTATTATATCCTTATATGCAATCTTTCTTTTATATACTACCGTCATCGAATTAACAACTTCTGTGAATCCGATGTTCATGTAGTTGTGCTAACTAGGTATGGTAAGTTGGACCGATGAATGTATGTGCCTGGTCCTACATTGTAACTGACTGACTGACTCTCCATGAGTAATTGCTTAAAAGCCATGACGCCTTTTATAGTTGTCTGGTATTATTTCATAACTTCACATCAATAGTCAACCCCAATATACTCAAATAGAATTGAATTCAAGAAGTTTCAATTTCAATAAATTCATGTCCTAGTGAGTTCTAGTGTGAAGCCGTGTTGGAATGAGACAGCTATCTATCTCAGACAATGGATGAATGGTTTCGATTCAAGTTAGGCATTAACTTCGTTTGATGCAGGCTCAGTACTTTAAGGGTTAAATAATCACATATGAGACCAAAGGTCCAGCACTCAAAATCGTGAAGATGCACTGATGAGGAATCCCATACTAGGACGAAACGATCGTCCAGTACTTTCAGGCTTTCAGTAGTAGTCTAGTGTAGACTGTTTCTTGAGTCCAACTTTTAACATTCATGTTTCTTTGATAAATGAGGCTATATGTTGACCTTTTATTATAATCAACACACACTAATAAAGATGTACGGTTTCTTCAGCTTTCTGATATTTGAGAGAGTATATGTGAGAAAATGAGAGGTAGTTGAAGAACCTTAGTTCTGAGATTGTCTATTAAGGTCTCAAACATTGGAAACGGATATGCGACAAGCATATTTATACAAATCGATAGTATCTTAAAATTTCTCTGATCTTTATATCTAAAAGTTTATAAATTTTTTTCTAATCTTTGCTTACGTATTTCTCTGACAGCCTATGTATTTCATGAAAGATCTATCCTAAATGATTAAAGGTAAACAATAATCTTCAACTTGGATTTTGTGTTGGCTGTTACAGTTTAGTTGAAAGAATGCTAAGAGCGCTCAAACCTAAACACAGCATCAGTTCATTGTTAGTCTAAGTTAGACTAAATGATATAGAAATACATTAATGAGGTCAGTGTGATAACTGTGATCAGTGACTGAAGGCATTATTTGATATGCTTCAAAACTAGTCAGAATGACAAATATGTATTCATTCCTTATTCTACTGAAGATTTTAAGTTTTAGTATTCCTTCATGATATTGTGGTCCGACAACTTGATCTGATGTACATTTGTACAAAGCTCCACATTGATAAAAACGGGTTGACTTAAGAAATCGATGTTCACTCTGTGTGTGTATGTGTATAATCCAAATCTGCGTTAAAAATAATAATCGCCAATAATTATCTTGTACACTTGAACTATTTAACTGAGATTGACAATCCTTATAATTTTCTATTGTTATTGTTCACTTGGTATTGTTTACTTGAATCTTTCAATTGTTGCTTAAGACTGAAATTGATCAATCTCTTTTTGATATATATGCATCCTGTGCGGACAGCCTTGATATTACCTTCACCCACAAGCGTTCTTAGCAGAGATGGATAGTGACTAGCATTAAAATCCAGGATGCGCGTTTCGTCCTATTTGGGACTCGTCAGTTGGGTGTACCTGTATCCCAGAACTGATGTTTATTCAGTAGCTAAGTGGATAACATGATGGCATCTGAAGTGAATGGTACTGAGTTCCAGCCCCAGAGTGAACATCAAATCTATGATGCAGGTACATACAGCTGACAAGTCTCGAATAGGACGAGACACCCCTCCTGGATATCACTGCTAGCCACTATCCATCCTTGTTTATTTTTATTATTATTTAACTTGGTGCTAAATAATTGACGAAAAATGAATCCCTCAATAAATTAAATACTGATACATGTTGTTTTTCATATTTAAATGATAAAATCTTAGGATGTTAAACAGTATGCAGATGATTTGGAAACGCGTAAAGCAGATGCAAATTATGTTGACACACAATTAGACAAGGTTAGTTGAGTAAAATGTTTTTTGTTTGAAAAAAAGCTAATTCATTTCAATATTATATTCACGACCAAAATCACGAACCGACATTAGCTAGACCACTATCAAAACGCTAGAAGCACTCAACGGCTGTTTTTTTCTCTTACAAGACTCTTCAGAAGTGTGTATACATGATCCTGCATGCGGAATCCACTGGTTCGATGCCGACTGAATAGTTTAGAGGTTCGATGTTTGTGCGCGATATCGTGAGTGTACACTGTTGAGGAGTTTCATACTATGGTGAAACTGCCATCTAATACTTCTAGGTATTCAGTGGTGGTAAAGATAAGATCAGTTTGTGATGTCAATTTTGAAAATACTACAATCATTACAAATTCCACGTAGTAGAACGTTTATTTATTTAGATAGACAGTTTAGGGAGGTTCGTTTAGTTTGAAGTTGATTAGTTAATCAATGATCACATGACTGTGAAATAAGGAAACATAAAACAATAGTTGTTAAGTGGTTCGTTGTTTGTAGTCCTTTTTACCAATCGAAAAGCTTATAAATTATAAGTAGTTGTATCTTTCCGTTGATATATTAAGAATTCTGACTGATCAATCACTTCTAGAATATATGCATACTGGGCGGATTCCCTCAATATTTCTATTTATACACAAGTTTCCAATAAGGTTGGATAATCCCTAGCAATAAAATTCAAGGAGTGGGTTTCATCCTATCTGAGACTCATCAGCTGCACGTACCTGTACCCGTGTTGGTAACTGCATTCAGACTCAGATTCAGTAACTTTTTCTTCAAATCCGTAATGCGTTATCTTAACCAAGTTTAAGTCCCCCTCCTATATTCTGTCCTTAGTTACTATCTGTCTTTTTTTAAAGTATGCTTTAATGAAACGTAATTCCCATTGAATTAACGAAATATTGAGACAATATTTAACAAAACTCATTATGTTAACACTTTGTCCATAAAATCGTTTTTCAAACGAACTGGTTGATTACTTATGAGTAGTTTATATTTTATGACTTTATTTTCTAATGATTCGGTGACTTGCTTTCGACTAAAATGTACTTTGTTACTTTAATATTTTAACTCTGAATGTATGAATCTCATTTAAACACTTACTTGGTTTAAGCTTCTGAAAAATTCATAGAGATTAAGATGTTCAGAATGTGTTCCTGGAGATTCTTAAGGAAATAATGTTTTGGCACTGACTAAGAGGTGAGTTTCAGAGTATCTGAACCAAAATCTAACTGGATCTACAAAGTTAGACATTAACATTTTTGGATGCCGGCTCAGTAACCTAAAGGTTAAGCGTCCACATACATGACCGAAGATGTTGGGTTTGGATCCGGGGTGGGGGGGTCTTTGGTGCAGACTGATGAAGAGCCCCAAAAACTAGGATGAAATGACCGTTCAATTATCCCAGATTTTTAATGGTGGTCTTACATTGATCAGTTCATGATTATGATAATATTCATTTATTTGTACACCTAGTGAAACTTCAGTGAGCTATTGTACTCAGCTAGATTTTTATTAAAGTTGAATAACGACCATAAGCAGAATTTAGACTTTTGTTTCATTTTATTTGAGACTCGTCACCTAAATGCACTGAAACCGGTGTCGATTTTTTCAGATTGAGGTTAGAACCCAATGTCTCTTTCTTTAAATAATGATACATTACCTACTGAGATTCTGGATCAAGACAGTCATCAGATTGTGCTACGTGTGTGAATTTTATATTTCGGGGTTTGTATTATAATTTTTGTTTCACAGTCTGTTAGCTATCTTGGTTAATTAGCTCAGTGGATAATTTGTAGATGTTTGTAGTGAAAGGTATTGGTTTCAAGTTCAAATGTGAACATCAACACTGGAATGTAGGAACGCTGTCGGATGTGAGGATGGTATACACCGTGAACATTAGTAGATAGTCAGATTGATTAAAGTTAGACTTTTACAACATTGTATATAGACTCACTAGTCGAGCGGATAAATGTTCGCACACCAATTGAAGATCTGAGGTTCTGTTAGGGGATACAAGTCAATTTTCACTTTGTTCTCACAACAATAATATCCATATCCTGATTCGATAATATTCAGAAATATACTGAAAGATTATTGTTTGTTTGTACAAATATAAATTCTTGACTAAATATCACTGAGGTGTTTCAATCAGTTCAGTGCTATTCATTGCCCAGTAATGGTAAAACCTAACTTGAAGTTGTAAATAATCTCTCTAAACTACCTGATTGAGATCATTGTTAGGAAATGATTAAATGACTTCTCAGAATTAGGTATTCTCCATTCTATCCTAAATAAGAAAACAAATCAATAATGAAGAATATCCACTATCAAAGACATATTGAACTTAGGAGGTCTTTTCCAGTTCATTTCAACTAAACAATCAAGGGTGACATCTTTATCATGAAAACAATGAGTAACATCTTGATTACAATTATATCACATAAGATTATTATTGTACACTACTCGGTTTACTTACTTACTTTACATACGCCCGTTATTCCCAATAGAGCATAGGCTGCCGACCAGCATTCTCCAACCCACTCTCTACTGGGCCTTCCTTTCTGCTTCTATCCAGTTGTTGTTCATTTTTCTCATGTTTGTCTCCATTTCTCAACATGATGTGTTCTTTGGTCTTCCTTTTCTCCTTTGGCCTTGAGGATTCCATGTGAGGGCTTGCCTTGTGACGCAGTTTGGTGCTTTCCTCAATGTGTGTCCTATCCACTTCCAGTGCTTCTTCCTGATTTCTCGCTCCGCTGGGATCTGGTTTGTTCTCTCCCACAGTAGGTTGTTGCTGATAGTGTCTGGCCTGCAGACTTGAAGTATTTTGCGTAGATAGCTATTAATAAACGCTTCTGGATGATGGCTTTCGCAGTTCTCCACGTTTTCGTCTCATATACCACTAAGAAAGTGTCATAATCTAACCTGGTACAGCTGTTAAAATCTAGCGAATTCTAAAATTAATTTCAATAATCTGTATTGAATGAGAACTTAGATAGGGACAACAAATCTGTTATTCCATACTGAAAAAACTCTGATATAATAAGATAATGGTTGGAGGTAGTCAATAAGAAACCTGGGACCTGGATTTCATGCTATTTGGCACTCTTCAGCAAGGTGTACCTGTAATCTTGAGGAAACTGATACTTCCTAACGGATCCGATCCCGTGTCACCCAGCTTCACAGTCAAAGATCTTATCATCACTGAGCTATCCAGGCTATCGCTGACGTCGATCTGCACTAAGAAAGACCTGATGCATATGACATTGATCATTACCCAATAATCAATCATTTGTGAACAGTGACATAATTCCCACTCGTTTATTTATGCATAAATTTATCAAACTGAACAGATGAGATAAACTATGTAAAATAAAAAGATTATAATCAGAATGGGTTTTGTGGAGAGTTTTAGAAATTTCACAGGTTGAACTCATGAGTCATTTGAAGCTAGACCACCATTGAAGACCTGGAAGCACTGGACGGCCGTTTCGTCCTGGTATGGGACTCCTCAGCAGTGCGCGTTCACGATCCCACACTATGCAATCTTTCTTTTATATATTACTACCGTTGAAGTAACTACCTCTATGAATCTGGTGTTCGTGTAGTTGTGCTAACTAGGTATGGCAACTTGGAGCGATGCACATATGTGCCTGGTCCTACATAATAGCTGACTGATTGACTAGTAGAGAAGATTTATAGCTCAGGTGGATGATTTTGATAAAGTTTTGTTCTTCTATCTGGATGGTTTATTCGTGGAACTTTCATCATTCTTCTAAACGATATCATCAGGTACTTGAATTTTGTGCTGATAATGACCAAACCATTCAGTTCATAGAACAAAACCTCATCAAAAACAAGTACATTCTTTCTTTTCAATGTATCACATTAACTCGACCCTCAAATACTGTGAAACTATTCAATCAAATTCAGACGAAAGTTCTTAATTTGTTCCCTCTTTCATAACAAAGATGATGATTAGTGAATATTTAGTGATCATATCTACAATGTATTGATTATAAGTAATAAAATTCCTTAGTCTATCTATCATTAACAAATATATACGTACGCACGCACATACATACATTTGCACTACATACATACACACACACACTTAAACATACATATACATTCCTTATATACCTATGCATATATGTCAACATGTTAAAAAGAATGCAATAGGTTGTCAAATTACCAACTGTAAACAATGACACTATGTGATCAATTATTCAGGGTCTCGTTTAAGATAAACAAAAAAAATTCTGATTATGTAATAGTATTGTTATTAACACCGTTGGATGCCGACCAGCTGAGTGGTCTAGAGGTTAAACATTAGTGCGTGAGACGGATAGGTTCTGGGCTCGAATCTTGGGAGGTAGGATTATGAATACGCACTTCTGAGGAGTCCTACGACTGGACGAAACAGCCATCCAATAATTCCAGATCTAACATCGATCGATTCGTGATCTCAATCAAAAATTTAATAATCTCCACAACCCTATACTAGTGATTACCATGTGCTCACAAGTGACTAGCTTCGTGAGAGAATTCTCAGAGTTCTAGTGAGAAGCCGTGACCAATGGATTTAATCCATGTCAAGTGGCGATAGGTATGTAAGGACAGTCCATGGATAAACTTGAAGAAGCTCTAAGAAGCTCAGAAAGAGCCGAATATATTCAACCCAATCATCTTTTGGAGGAATATTTCAGAAACACTACGTGTAGCTTCCCTATTGTACAAATGCTTATGCGGATTGGTTAACTATAATGATGATTTCGTTTTCACTTAAAACTATAAATACGTAACAATTTTGTATCATAATTGATACTGTTTGGAGTAGCATTTCTTTTACACGTCTTCTGTCTTTTCATTTGCTCCTTGGGAGAGTTCCGGCGTCCGAGTGCTCAAATTATACGCGGTATATTAAGAATCTAAGCTCTAGATATAACACTATCTATCTATCAGTGGTTTAGAGGTTAAGCGCTCGTGCGCGACACATAGGGATTGGGTTTGAATCTCACTAGGCGAGATCATGAATACACACTTCTGAGGAGTCTCACAATTGGACGAAACAGCCATCTAGTACTTCTAGATCTAACATTGATCAGTTCATGATCTCAATCAAAAGAAAAGAAAAGAAAGAAATGCTTGTTTTTTTTTGTATCTTCTCAATTTTTTCTACATAAATGAATGATATAATTACATAATGTATATAATATAAAACTAATTAATTCAATAAATTCAAATAAACCAATAACAGAGATCCCAATCCATAAACCCATATTACCACCAATATCCGATAATAATTGTGCTAATGAATATTCTTGTTCTTCCCTTACTAATTTACCTTGTGGTCTATTACGTTCTATAATTAATAAACCAAAATTATTACGCATTTCTAATAAAATTTGTTGAGTTGTTAATTTCTCATTATTATAAGTAGTATTATCAGTAGTATTATTATAAGTAGTATTATAATTAGTAGTAGTATTGTTAATAAATACATCACGAAATGTACGAATTAAAAATGTGGCTCTTGCATCATTATATGTATTACTCCATAATTCATTCATAATAATACGATGTATACCAAAATTTTGATAATAAACATGATCACAATATGGTAAATGATGTAAAAGATCACATTGTTTCGCTTCAATTAAATTCATATATAAACTAAGATTATTGTATTTTTGATAGACACGATACATACAATTCACATTATCAATTAATTGATTCTTATTATATAATGACATATTTAAACATAAAGCTGGATGATGATATTCCATTGTTTTATTATGATTATTATTAATGATGGGTATGTTACCATAGTAACCATAAGGTAAGAAAGGACTATAACAATGACATTCATTTAAATATAAATATTGTGATAATATACGATGACATAATTCATTGGAACCATAGATTAAACGTTTATTAATTAAATCACCATCATAGATAATTGTTGAAAATTTGTTCTCATTACATAATGATTGATGTTGGTGTTGATGTTCGTGATGGTGCTCGTGATGATGATGATGATGATGGTGCGAATAGTGGTGTTTGATACGTTTTATACGTAACATTTCTAATTTAATATGATTTATATAACCAGGTATTAATTCAATGGAATTCATATTAGGGAAATGATTTGGTAATGTGATATATAAATCAATCATATGAGATGTATAAGATGAATTAATAATTAAATAACTTTGATAATTAAATTTAATACCAAAAGCAAGTTTTTCTATATGATGATAATTGGTTTTATTTAAATGACGTGAAATCTGTAAGAAGAAGAAGAAGAAGAAGAAGAATAAACAGAAAGAAAGATAAAAACATAAATGAATACCGGTTAAGGTTAGTGGTTTGTGTACGAGACCAACAGGTTCTGGGTTCGAATTCAGCGGACAGGATCGTAGATGTGCACTGATGAGGAGAACCATACTAGGAATGAAATGACTGTTCAATGCTTCCAGGTTTTCCATAGTGGCCTAGCTTTAATTGACTCATGAATTTAACTATTACTATTTATATATTATGGATTGATTGAAGTTAGACACCAACACTGTTGTGTGCCAGCCAGCTCAGTGGCCTAGAGGTTGAGCGTAGGCGCGTAAGAATGAAGGGTCCTGAGTTCGAGTCCCGCTTGTGTGGTCGTGAATGCATACCAATGATGAATCTAGTGCTGGGACGAAACGGTTGTTCAGTACTTCCGTATTTTCCATAGTGGTCTATTTTTAATTGACTCATGAACTCAACTATTAAAATATATATGTATATGTATCGATGAATTTAGATATGAACATGGTTGGATGCCGACCAGCTTAGTGGTTTAGAGGTTAAAAGTTTGTGTGTGAGACCAATGGCTCCTGGGTTCGAATCCTGTGAGGAGGGATCGTAAATGTGCACTGATGAAGATTACAATATTGGGACGAAACGGCCTTTCAGTATTTTCAGGTTTTCCATAGTAGTCTGTCTTTAGTTGACTCATGAATTCAGCTATTAAAATATAAATATATATTTGTATAGTTAAACTTTTTTCTATGAAATCATATACATATACATATACATACAAATATACAGATGCGGGTAACTAATAGTATCTAAATACAAAATTATAGAGTTCTTTCATCAAATGTAAACACCATACGTTCAATACATCATTTTCAAATCACCTTACAATTGTCTCAATATTCATCCTTCTTTCATTACCATAATAATAATTACTCTTTGTTTCCATTCACCTCCATTCTATCTTTCCAACATATTCTAGGACTAAATATTCCACTTCTGATTAATGTTATATACTACTTATGTAGATATAAGTAGTATACTATCTATCTATCTTACGCCTGTTACTCTTAATGGAGCATAGGCCGCTGACCAGCATTCTCCAGCATACTCAGTCCTAGGCCTACTTTTCTAGTTCCATCCAATTCTTGTTCATTTTTCTCATGTCTATTTTCATTTCTCGACGTAATGCGTACTTTGGTCTTCCTCTTGTCCTTTGGCCTTGAGGATTCCATGTGAGGGCTTGCCTTGTGACGCAGTTTGGTGCTTTCCTCAATGTGTGTCCTATCCACTTCCAGTGCTTCTTCCTGATTTCGTCCTCCACTGGGATCTGGTTTGTTCTTTCCCACAGTTGGTTGTTGCTAATAGTATCCGGCCAATGGATCCGAAGTATTTTGCGTAGACAAATAAGTAGCATACACTATATACATATTACATTGACTCTGTCTTATTTCAATAGACATACAGTGTTTGAATATATGTGTATTTATCAGCCTTTCTATTTTCATCAGCTGTTTAAACATTAGATTTTATGTGGAGATATGTTTATCAATCAGTGGATTTCAGTCATTTCCATCTAATTCGTTATGAACATTGATAGATTTGATCTTCTTCAAGTTGAAGGTTGTCTATGTATGTAGAAGACTTCAATAAATCGGTTAGATATACATTAATTAGTGTAATGAACAAGAAAACAAGTGGGAACAATTGAATATAGTCGAACATGAAATTACGGAACATCTCACTTAAATCTTAGAATCATACAGTAAATACTTCATTTGCAATATATCGATCCATTGTCTCAAACTTGATAGTTTCTTTTGCAAATATTAGTGAGTTGTATCAGATTTCATTGTTTCTGAATTGTCATACCAATTACTTTCTATTCCCATTCTTTCCTTCTCGATCTTCTACTGAAATACATTCTATTCCCGACCATCGTTATATACTACTTATGTGGATATAAGTAGCTCACATCACAGAGGTATTAGTTAAAAACAATCAAATTAATGAATACAAAGTTTATTTACATTTATCTGTCTGCAGTATTCATAACTTAAATACAGCAGTGAAATAATTGTCATGTGCTGATTAGTGACTAGCTTTGAGAAGTACTTCTTAGAGTTCTCGTGAGAAGCTGTGATCAATTGAGTTCATCTGTGTTCGAGTGTGAGGCAGTTACTTAACGAAGACAATTTAAGATGGTCGCGTAATAGTGTGGATTGTTTGAAGTGAGACATCGACAGTGTTAGATGGTGGCTTAATGATCTAGAGGTTAGGAATTCTCACACGAGACTGACGGTCCTGAGTTCGAGTCCCATGCGAGAGATTGTGAATGCTTACACCAGAGAAGCCCCATACTAGAACGAAATAACTATCCAGGTTTCCAATGTTTGTCTTACATTGATCAGTTTATGATCACAATGAATGTGTAATTTAGATTATTATTTCTCATAAGTCACTCAAAGCTTTCCAGACAATCTGGATCTTATTATCCTGCATCGTTTGTTGAGCAACTGTTTTAGATGTGTAAATTGTAACTGAATTTAATTGAAAGGTAATAACAATTCGAATTGAATCACATTAGTTATCGAATAAGACTTGATCTAATCAAGATAATAATTATATGATTGAATTCATGAGTCAATTAAAGATAGACCACCATGGAAAATCTGGAGACATCGGACGGTTGTTTCGTCCTATTATGAAATTTCTCAACAGTAAACATCAACAATCCTGCCCGCGGGAGTCAAACCCAGGAGGACTTATCGGTTCTGATTATTCAGAAAAATGTACTGCAATGTGTTCATTATTACAGCTAATATGATTCAAAATTCAAGCTTTTACTACAAAGTAATTCACTTCAAGTTCTAAATTGACTTTGGTTATCTTCAAAAAGAATTAATATTTTAATACAAAAGTTTTTAATATACAAACTTATGCATATACCTACACACACACACATGATTGAACATTTGGCCAATTGAGCGTTTTACTGAACCAGTGCAACTTTCTGCTTAAACTTCCCACCCCACCCCCTCGCCTATATATTAGTACTAATTTTGTAGTTCCCAAGGGAAATTAAAATGTATTGTACCGTTATACAAAAGTTTTAATATACCATTTAAAACTTGCCTTTAGTGGCGTACTTGACTTTCTATTTTTGAAATGATCAATACTTGGCTAGATTGAATTTGAGTGTGTGTGTGTGTGTGTGTGTGTGTGTGAAGAAGTGGAACTCAAATCGAAGAAAGTGAAAGGTTGGGAATTGACGAAATGATTAGTAAATAAAAGTAAGATAGTGTTGTTTGTAGTCGAATGAATGAGTAGCTTAGGGTTTATTTTGCTCTGAGCCTCGTCGCTAATGTATATTAATAGAAATAATAATAAGAAACATGAAATAACTTGTAACTAATGAAGAATATCAAGATATTTTCGACCAAAGAGGTTGTAACCCTGACAACATCTGATCATATTCAGCAATGAGTATGTCAACAACGGAAAAATATAAATCTTGATAAATAGGAATGATTATGCTCTCTGCATTACTTTATCTCTATTAAACCTAGTCAATGGAAGTAAAAGTTACGGATAGGCTACAGGTTACCGACTATAGGTAAATTAAAAATATTTCTTATTTCTTATGGGATGATTGAATGAGCAATGGTGAGGTTAGATATAATGGCACTAAACCAAAATGACAAATCGGTCGATTAGGGAGTGACGGGTATCCATCGACTAACATGGTAGGAACATGTGTTACACATATGAAACCAGTGATTAACACAACGGTCGATGTTAGCTAGTGTAGAATGAAGTTGGAAAAAGTAAGATATGGCATCAGTTTATGAAACTGTTGACTATTAGACTGGACCATGTTTGGTTTTCATGTTCATCGTAACCAGTGCCTGAAGATGTTGAGGCGTACAGTGCATGTGCGTTTCGTCCTACTCGGGATGCGTCAGGTGGATGTACCTACATCTCTGAGTTGATGTCCACTCCGGGACTCGAAACCAGTACCATTCATTTCAAACGCCATCACGTTATTCACTTAGCTATTGAGTGGACATCAACTCTGAGATGCAGGTATATCCAAGTAACGAGTCCCAAATAGAACGAACCGCGCGTCCTAGTTTCTACTGCCAGCTACTTTCCATTAATGCTTATAATATATGTGACTTAAAGTAATATCGAGGTAGTTCGCATGGATACACATATACTAACAAGAGACTGATCAACTGTTAAATTTTGATAAAAAATTGGCCAATAACAAGATTTGATTTCGTTCAACGGATCAATATATATACCCTTGGAATGATGATATTGTTTGTATTCACTAAATACATAAATTCTTTACACAGACTATTATGAATAACAGATTATTTTTTCAGATGAAAGGAATTAGATGACATGGAATAGACAGTTGTAGGTAGGAAACAAATACACATTACAGTAGATATCAATTCAATATAGTGAATAGTTAATACTAATCCAATAATTTATAATGCTTAACAATTGTTCATATTAAATAGTTGAATTCATGAGTTGATTTAAGCTAGACCATCAGTGAAACCTTAGAAGTACTAGATGGCCGTTTCGTTCTAGTCTGGAACTCTTAATCATGTACTCACTAGGGACTGGCTTTAAGATGGATATCATGGAGATCTAGTGAGAAGCCATGATCAAATGAGTTCAGTCGTGTCTGTTTTGAGGCAGTTACTCACTGAAGACAATGGTAAACGGTCGCGCAATATCATGAACTGGTTGGAGTGAGACATTAATACCATTAAATATCGTCCAGCTTAGTGGTCTAAAGGTTAAGTGTTCACACATAAAACCAAAGATTGTGCACTCGAGTCCCGTGTGTAGAATAGTGGATGTTTACTGCTGAGGAGTCCCATACTGGGATGAAACGACCGTCTAGTACTTCCAGGTTTTCACTGATGATCTAGCTTAGATAGACTCAGGAATTCAACTAGTCAACTAATTCAATTTCTAAATATAATTTTTATTATTATTCCATAAGAGGTCAAATAGTTTCTTTAATGTTATATGTTTATAAGATGGATACAAAGAAGATTTATTCTATGCCACTTTTTTTAACATAGACATTTGATTATACTTGTCAAAGATAAGAGATGGATATCATTTATACTCATTTCATTATTGACATTTTATACTTGTGAAATTTATCTCTCTTCCTAAATTCATCCTGGATTAGACCATTTTTCAATCTCTTTGATCAAATACTCATAAAACTACATCAAATGTGTGCTAGGTAGGTAGGTAGGTAGGTAGGTGGGTAGGTAGGTAGATAGATAGGTATGTAGATATGTAGGTATGTAGATATGTAGGTATGTAGGTAGGTGGGTAGGTAAATAGGTTGTTATGTGGGTAGGTAGGTATGTACATCATGATTGTAATAGTAAGATATGAATAGAAGGAGATAAACAAAAGATGTATTGTGTTATTTGGAAGCAATGGGATGAAGCAAAGCTAAAGGATACATGATATATGATGAAGATAACAACCATATTATTCAGTAGTATATTTAGCTAGTGTCTGTCATTTAATCAACTTAAACAATTCTTAATACTTTCATAACTTGCACCATAGAATGATCTTAGCTAGAAAACCACTGAAAACCAGAAAAAAACTAGATGCTTATTTCATCCTAGACTCTTCTGTAGTGAGCATCTTTGAACCTACCAGGGAGCGAACATAGAACTTTCACGTATCATGGTAACTGCTTAACTTTTGAACAAGTGAATCAGTATCCAATGATTTGTGTTTCTCAGTTATCAAGTTATAAACAATTAAAGGTTTTAGACAAATGTACATCAACTGTAGTCACCTCATGTATATTAGCACAGTGGAACGCAATTAACGAGTTAACAAGGTAACTAGTCAGAACTTTGAAATCACGAACTAATCTAGGTTAAATCACCATTGAAGATATGAGGACACTGGACGATTACTTCGTTCTAGTATTGGATCTCGCTGAAGTGTATATTCACAACCCCACACACGGAGGTCGAACCTAGTACCTTTTGACTCGATCACAAACGCTCAAATTCTTGATTGCTTTGTCGATACCCGATGGTGTAGAAATCTAACTTCAATCACTCCATGATAGTGTGCGACCATCTTCCATTGTCTTCAGTGGGTAACTATCTCACATTTGACTCGAACTAAGGAAATTTCCCCTCAAAGCTATTCACTAGTGTGTATACTAGCAACTATTCGCTTTGATGAATTGAACGGGAATGCATATATCTACGGTGTCCGATTTAGACACACACACACCCACTTTCAATAAACATGCTCAACAGCCAACGAAACTAAAAAGAATAACAAATAACACTAGAAAGCTATAATTTACAAAACAGAATAGGTTTATATACAAATCACAAGTGTATAAACATTCATTCGTTTGACCTAGACAATGACATGTAAATTGAGACATTGACTACATGTTTAATCAAATCCCATCAATGTCTGTGATATTTTTGGACTCGCTTAATCTATCAATCTGTATGTATACATCCATTAGACTACTTCTGAATAGAATGAAGTGTGTGTTTTATTCGAGGCTGTTATCCATCAAAGACGTTTTTCTAATTTTCCCATTTGTCAACCAACCTATCAGTGATCATAATTCATCTGAAAAAAAAGTTTTCATTTCTATTGTCAGAAAGGGGGTTTTGTGAAGATTATACTAATTTAATAGTTGGATTCATGGATCGAATAAAGTTAGACCACCGTGGAGAGCTTAGAAGTACTGGCTGATCGTTTTGTCCTAGTATGGGGCTCCTCAGCAGCGCACATCCGCGATCCTCCGCATGTGATTCGAACCCAGGACCTTTAGTCTCGCGCGCGAACGCTTAACCTGAAGACCACTGAGCCAACCAGTGTACAACAGTGTTAATGTTTAACTTCAATCGATCCATGTATGACTGCGCAAACATTCATCCATTATCTAAAGTAGATACCTGTCTCCATTTGACATGGATTAGCTCCATTGGTCATGGCTTCTCACCAGAACTCCAGGAAATACATCTTGAAGCCAATCACTATGAATTTATCAAAAGAATTTATCCCTTAAAATTAGTATAAACATCATTTTTGAAAGGATTTCTTCCTATCGAACAACAGAATTTCTTGGAAAACTCTTTTTTCTTCTCAACGTCCATGTACATTCTTTAATGTGATTGTAAAACATAAAATCCAAAGATGGATGTATTTTCAATGAATTTACTGGTACGTCTTCGCTGTAGGGGTGTTGTTTACGAAATCGAGAGGACGAAAAACGAATTCCTGGGGCTCGAACTAAGTTGGTGGACACGAAGGGTCCAAATCAGTAGTGTACATGGGCTCTAGGATCCTGGGGGAACACAAGTCGTGTGAATTAGTTATTGATCACCTGATACTATGTGACTGGAACTCCTTAGATTGCTCCACTGCCTTGTGGATTAGACCTTTAGGTCAATGAAATAAGACACTTAAAATTAAACACGAACTTTTGATAGCTTTTTCTTTTCAACCTTCTCAACCATTTTTGCATGTCACTTGATGATTCACCAAGCCTTTCATCTAAGTTTATTTCCGTGGGTGCCATCTCTGTATCATTACCTGTCTTGAAATCCTGAAAGACTAAACTCTAGTTTGTACGCTTAGAAAGCTTTTTTGTTACAAACGCAATCACAAGTCAGAGTACGAAATCAGCTATGCATACTCATTGATGCCGGAAGACGTTAATGAACAAGTGCCTGACGTTATTTTTAAGCCGGATTCAGACTCATCATACGATTGCCTAAAAACAGAGATCGTTCGTGTCATATCTTTCACCAACCAGCAGACAACTGATCAACTTTTAGCTAATGTAGAGCTATGTGACAGCACACCGTCTCAATTAAAACGCCACATGACAAATGTATTGGGGAATTGTATAGTAAATAAACGTCTATTACATCAATTGTAGCTCAAATGTCTCCCTTAAAACATCAAACAGATACTAGAAATCGGAGAAAATGTCGACTTTAATAGGCCAGTGGACATAACCGATAGAATTTACGAGCGGAATAAGACATCTTTTAAATAACCCACGAAAATTTCACTCCGTCCGCTTTTATTTCACAGTTATTAATAAATACAACTATAATCAGAGAGGGGTTTTGTAGGTAATATAGTAATTTCAGTAGTTGAATTCATGATTCAATTGAAGCTAGACCACCATGGAAAACCTGGAAGCCTGCTCAGTGGTTTAGTGGTTAAGTGCTCGCGTGCGAGACCGATAGGTCATGGGTTCGAATCTCGCAAGGCGGGATCGTGGATGCGCACTGCTGAGGAGCCTCACACTGGGACGAAACGGCCGTCCAGTGTTTCCAGTTTTTCCATGGTGGTCTAGCTTCAATTGACTCATGACGTCAACTTTTAAAAATACAACTATGCTGTATATCGGTAATTCATTTGCCCCCATCAATTCAAAAGTGAAATTGAAAATCCAAACAGATCATTGTTTTAGTTCTATAAGGGAACTCATCATTAATGAATATTCGGTGTAATCATTAGTTTCATATTGATAACCTATTAATCGACTAGAATTATGAATGACATATGGTGATGTATTTATACTTTGAAGCTATTTCAATACATTATTATTAGTAACAGATTGTGCTGATCACAAACTGGCATTGAATGGAGATATATTTACAAATTATAAAGTATTATTGCATTGTTTCACTTTCATTAATATAACTAACGTAATATCGTGGGTCTGTTGAAGTTAAGTATGTCTTCTACTATTGAATTCTGGTTTATTTATCAAGAGGTCAAGCGTTCGCACACAAAAGACTGAAGGTCCTGAGTACGATCCTCACTTCCACACTCTTTAAGAATCCTACATTAGGACGAAATGAGTGTTCAGTGCTTCCAGTTATTGGGTAGTTGTCTAATTTATATTAGTTCGTGACTTCAACCAACTTGTTATATTATATCATAGACAGAAATGACACACACACATGCACACAAAACAAAACAAATAATCTCAGTGGATTTGTTTACTTGAATCTTTACATTGATGTTCAGGACTGCAATCAATCAGTCTATTATTGGCATATGTGCATCCTGCGCGGATTGCTTCGATATAGCCTTGAGCCACAAGCTTTTTAAGCAAAGATGGATGGTGAATAGCAGTGGAATGAAGGATGCTCATTTTGTCCTATTTGGTACTCGTCAACTAGGATTTACCTACATCTCAGAGTTAATGTTCACTCTGTGACTCGAAACCAAGACCATTCGTTTCAAACGCCATCATATTATCCACTTAGCCACTTGCTTCTAGACATCAACTCTAAGATGAAGTACAGCCACTAGCTGACGAATCTCAAATAGGACAAAGCACTCATCAAATTCGATTCCATTACCAACTAATATCGATCGCCCCCAAAAGGCCTGTTACGGCCGAAAGTGAGGAGAGTTCGCATACCCTCTCGAAATGCTCCCACATGGCCACGCATATATAGCTGCCGCCAGGGAAGTCCTACTCACTGCCTTCTCGTGGTGGTGGGGTGTTGTTTACGGAAGTCGGAAAACCCTGATTTCAAACTAATGGTGTATATGAGCTCCAGTACCCTAAGGGAACAAATGGCGTATGAACCAATTATTGGTCGCCGACTACCATGGGACTGCATCTGTTTACGATGCTTCCCTGCCCTGTGGATCAGACCTTCGGGTCGAAGGCTCCGGATGTGGCCTCTTAAGAAAACCACCTGCTTTGATCTGGGCACCCCGGCCAGTATCATAGTATCATAAGCAGTGGAATCCAGGACGCGCGTTTCGTCCTGTTTGGGACTCGTCAGCTGGATGTACCTGCATCTCAGAGTTGATGTTCACTCTGAGACTCGAACTCAGTACCGTTCGTTTCAAACGCCATCGTGTTATCCACTTAGCTACTGAGTCCAGAGTGAACACCACCTCTGAGATGCAGTTACATCCAGCTGACAAGTCCCAAACAGGACGAAACGCGCGTCCTGGATTCCACTGCTAACCACTATCCATCTTTGCTTATGTATATCTTTGTTTATATAAAATACTCATTCAAATATCATACTTACTTGAAAATTAAAACATGGTACATTATAACGTTTTTGTAATATTTGTGTATAAAAATATTGATTTAATGGTATTGGTATCATAACTAAATTGTCATCTAATCCAACTGATAAACGTATACCTTGATAACCATTATCCATTGCAATAAATTGAAACATATTATCAATATTGCCAATATTGAATTCCCAATAAGATATTGTTGAATGTATTAATGATTGTATTATAATCTCATTTGTATCTATATCATCTATATTTAGAAATAAATCATTTGGTATATGCAATGATAGATTCCTTGCTAAATTCATATATTTATTCCATAATATATTATATTGTTTATCATAGACATTATATGGTGCCATTGCATTACATAATATAATATCAGGCCATTGAAATGCTTCATAATCATTAATATAACTAGTCAGTATTGGATAAGATAAATAATGTTCAATAATATATGATAAATTAATTAAAAATCCAATCATACCAATTAACCATAATATAAACCAGATGAAACGATTTATATGATTAGTTGCTTTTGATAAATGCGATAAACCATGTATTGTACTATGATTTAATAATTGTATAATCCCTAGACGAAAATCGCTAAATTGATTTGTATTATTATTATTATTATTACTATTATGATTAGTAATAGTATTTGTTCCATGAATTTGAGTTCTTTCCGATAACTGATCTAATGAATTAGGTAACATAAGTGATAGTGTGTGTTTCTTTTTAGCGATAAATTTCAAACTACTAATAAGTAGTTAAATAATGTTTACTAAATATATTTGATTACACAATTTGAACTAAATGACACGAATTTGAAACTTCTAATACAAGGTGAACGTAAAATTTATATCCTTTATATTATGAGAAATTGTTGAAAGAGGGTTCATTCAATGGATAGAAGAGAACAATAATTAGAATTATTGGTTAATGTTGACCGAACACAAAAATATTCTACTTCGAATTTAACTTCGAACTTAATAATATCGGTTGTATTCATGGTAGAAAAAAAATGTTTGATATGAGCTAACCAATTAGATAACAGTTTAGATTATTTTAAATTAGGGATGAGAGAATTTTACTGGTTCATATTATATGACAATAGGGTGTAAGCAAAGGTATGTGTGTGTTTCTATGTGCGCACACACACACACATGCATTATTTACCAAGTGAAATAGAATTTCTGACGTACTACGTATTTACACTGATAATAATAATGATAATAATAATAATAATAATAATAATAATGATAATAATAATGATAATAATAATAATAATAATAATATCCCACTATCATTAAAACTAACAGTATTGTAGTTTTATGGAGGTTGGTTTAATTAGTAGATGGGTATTTGTCATTGACTTAGTGTATTCGTTTTGCACAATTCCGACTTTATTCAATTTTCGATAGAACTAATCAGTTAAACTAGTTAGCTTACTAGTGACTTTACTTTGAGATGTCCAGTTAGAAGTTACAATTTGTTCAGCTTAGATATTTTAAGAATAAACTGGTTTTAATTAGTGGGATTGGATGATATTCATGTTATACTTTAAGCTGATTGGATTTGGAATTGTACTGTTGGTTGACTGAAGAGTTCCATTAGTTAGACATTTGCCCTAGGAGCAGAAGTTCGTGGATTTGAACAACGGTGAAGTTGTAGACGTACACTGGGTCAGTATCATCATAATAGAAAAAAAGCTTTTACAGTCCTGCTTGGTTTTCAGTGTTACCGCAAACAAAATCAATATGTGACAAATACAATCTACTTCGAAACAGTATTTATTCGCTTATTGACTCAAGATGCTCAGATAGTACAGTTCTGTTCGGTCAGAGTTTTCTGACCTCATTAAGCAGTTATATAAACTTATATGAAATGAGATTTTCCCTTCATAAATACTTAATTTTGCCACAGGACTGATTTTTGTCAATGCTTGAATCAATCATAGGGAATGAATTAATTGAGTGTGTCGATTACTTCATTTATCTTGGAAATTTTATCACCCTTAACGGGTTGATTTCTGACGAAATAGCGATACAAATTTAGAAAGCTCAGTTGGATTTTGCCAACTTACATTACCTGTGGAATAAGGAAGATAAATGTCTACCAATTAAAAGACAACTATACGACATAAAAGTTCGCTCTGATTTATTTTATGACTGTGAAACGTCACCTTTATAATTACAGGATAATTGTAAGTCTCCGATATTTGATCGCAAGTATATTCAAGCCATTGGTCGTGTATTTCAAAACCATTAAATTAACCATTCTTAGATTAGAGTTAGAGTACTAAGTATATCAAGCCGATTGATCAAGTAGCTAATCTTTACCGACTGAAATGATTAAGACATATAGCATGTATTTCTATTGACCAACTATCTGACCTCATGATAATAGTTGTTGTAGAAGTATGGCGAGCGGTCAAACAAATCTCATTTCTTTACTGCTTCAAGTAACAGTTTTCTATAGATTATATCATTTAGCTAATATGAAGTTAGTTTTTATTATTGTCTAGAATGTATTCGGAACATCATTGAAATCAAAGAATACTAGATTAATATTTTGTTCTAATAATAGTAACTAAGGTTTTTATCGTTATAAGTATCACCTTAATACTTCACTTATGATTATTGTTATATCCTGGTGATGAAGATTAAATTACTGGTAACTTCTGAGGAAGTCCTTCTGGAGCCTTTCTGAGGTTACTGCTGGTCTCAAGCCCGGACAAAGGAGGAAGGTTGGGCATGGGGTTAACATTCCCATCCCGTAGAAAATTAACTCTCTCTGAAAAACGCTAACCAGAAAAGATAACTCAAACCATTTAAACTCTGCCCTGCGAGTTAGAAGGTCTTCATTAAGAAGAGTTATGACACCTCATGATGAAAGCCGAGTTCCTTCGGAAGTCACGATGTTGATGCCTATTCTGACAACCATAGTAACCATTAATTTAGGTACATGAAATACTCGTACAATGTGGGAGACCGGGAGAGTCTTCCAAATTGCTGAAAATTCTGAGAACTATTAATGGACTAATATTATACGCATATTCTCATTGTACACCTATTTAGTAACTAGATTATGAATATCTATATTCCTCTTACTGTAAGCTTTATTTTGACCCATAAACTATTTATTATTCGATTTACTGCTCTTAAATTATATTCAGTTTATTGATTACCGTCTCCTACGTTCACAACCACTTTTTGGCTTGATCTTGTATAAATGTTATTCGTTAGTTTATGGTTTGATGCGATTTGTCTGTATATAAACCAAGTATGTTTGAAATAAATGGTTCGTACAGTGTAAGCTGTTATTCGCAGCTCTGAAATCGACTTGAACGGGCTAACCGAAGAAAGGACCTATAAGGATGGTATGTTGCTCATACTGGTCGAACGTCATTGCGTTAGCATAGTACTAAGATCGAATGAGTCGTATTTAGATTGGCGAATGAATCACGAGATAACTAGCCCTGCTTAAAGTCAGAACACTTATGGACAAATTTTTATCAGCTCATCCATCTTATTGAAATATGATCACATCATGAATTCCTTTAATTATCTCTTCTTTTCGTTTTACCATAGACATTTGATTATACTTGTCAAAGATAAGAGATGGATATCATTTATACTCATTTCATTATTGACATTTTATACTTGTGAAATTTATCTCTCTTTCTAAATTCATCCTGGATTAGACCATTTTTCAATCTCTTTGATCAAATGCTCATAAAACTACATCAAATGTGTGCTAGGTAGGTAGGTAGGTGGGTAGGTAGGTAGATAGATAGGTAGGTAGATATGTAGGTATGTAGATATGTAGGTATGTAGGTAGGTGGGTAGGTAAATAGGTTGTTATGTGGGTAGGTAAGTATGTACATCATGATTGTAATAGTAAGATATGAATAGAAGGAGATAAACAAAAGATGTATTGTGTTATTTGGAAGCAATGGGATATAGCAAAGCTAAAGGATACATGATATATAATGAAGATAACAATCATATTATTCAGTAGTATATTTAGTTAGTGTCTATCATTTAAATCATTCATTTAATCAACTTAAACAATTCTTAATACTTTCACAACTTGCACCATAGAATGATCTTAGCTAGAAAACCACTTACGGCTGCAAAACATGGCCATTCAGAGTTGAAGATACTCGTAAATTACTAGTATTTGACCACAGATGCCTTAGAAATATTTTTGGCGTCTGCTGGGATCATCGGGTGAGTAATAATGAGGTTAGATGTAGAGTATTAAGGAATGATGGTAAATCAGTTGATGAGGTTGTGAATCTTCATTGACTGAGATGGTTGGGTCACGTGTTACGTATGCATGAACACCGAGTACCACGACACGCTATGCTGATTAGTGTTGGAGAGGGTTGGAAGAAAGTTAGAGGCGGCCAAACCAAAACGTGGCATCAGTCATTGAAGTCACTAACTTCTAGTCTTAGCCATGTTGGTATATTCAAGCTATTTGGTTGGGGTCTGCTTGACTATCGTAACTAATGGTTAGATACTTTGAGTGACATGGTTCAGAATCGATCACATTGGCTTAGGTGTATACACTCTTAGTGTTCCCTTAAATCGTCAGATTAAAATTACTTTATGCCTTTCCTTCTACAAGCGAGTTCTTTTATATGCACTCCTTTCCATGAAATTGGTGTTCATCTTGTTGTGCTAATGAGATATGGCAACTTGGACTGATGTATATAAACGCTTGGTTCTACGTTGTATCTGACAAATTGACTGACGGACTGATATTATGAAATTAAGTGAATATTTTAAAAAAAACTCAATAAATAAATGAAGATAAATGAGTTCTTTACTACTCACTATTATGTAAACTTTATAAGTTTCCATGGTTTATCTTCTTTCAAAATAAAATAACTTATGCCTATTGTTTTATGCAGTTTAATAATAATAATATCAGAAGGAGTTTTGTGGAGATTGTAGTAATTCCAACCCCTTCTGATACTAATCAACATATGCTCACTAGTGAATGGCTTCGATAGATATATCCTGGAGTTCTAGTGAGAAGCAGTGACCAGTGGAGTTCAACCGGGTCAGTTGTGAAGTAGTAACTCATGGATGTGTCGCTCAATTCCGTGGATTAGTTGAAGTTAGACATTAACACCGTTGGTTGCAGGCCGGCTCAGTGATCTAGTTGGTTAAGCACCTGGCGCGAGCCTGATAGATCCTGGGTTCAAATCCCGCGTGGCGGGGTCGTGGATGCGCACTGCCGAGGAGTCCCACAATGGGACGGAACGGCCGTCCGGTGCTTCCAGGTCTTCCTTGGTGGTCTAGCTTCAATTGACCCATGATCTCAAATGTTGAAATAATAATAATAACAACAATAATAATAATTCGAAACTACGATCACAATGGGGTTTGTAAAGATTGCAATCATATTAATTATTGAATTCATGAGTCTATCTAAGCTAGCGAGACAGGTATCTAGCTCAGACAATGTAATTACTAAACATCTCCAAGACATCAGATCGTTACCTTGGAATCTTTCAAGGTAACTAATAAGCAGACAAACTCCTGTCTTCTGAAGTTCGCTCAAGTCGTTACTATCAGGCTTAAGGTCCTGATTTATGCGTTCAATATGAGATGGTTATTAATCTTTCCTTTTTTGCCTGGATGACAAATAATCCTTTATGAAATCTTAGACATTTTCCTTTAAACTCTTTCTTGTATTGATTACATGATTGAGTTTTTATTTCAACTATCTTCTAGATTAGTAATTTTATTTTTATCAACTGAGCTTTGCTCATTTTATTCCTATCAATGTTTACTCATTATGTAATCACTTGTTTCTAGGCGTTTGAACTGCTGTCACAATCAACGTTGTAGAATGTTCTTTTATCATATAAGGTATATATTTACAATATTCAGTCTATTACACTGGTTGAAATCATGAGTTAGTTGAAGCTAGAACACCATGCAAAACCTGGAAGCACTGGACGGCCGTTTCGTCCCAGTCTGGAACTCCTCAGCAGTGCGCATCCACGATCCCGCCCCCTGCGAGATTCGAACCTAGGACCTATCAGTCTCGCGTCAGGCACTTAACCAACTAGACCATCGAGCCGCCATCCAACGATGTTAATGCTTCTAAGTTTTCCATGGTGGTCTAGGTTTAATTGACTCATGATTTCAACCAGTGAAATTTTCAAAATCTCCACAAAACCCCATTCTGATTCAGTCTATTAATTTTATTTTCACCCTTACTATACTATAATAATGTGTCCTCAATATAACTTCCAACCAAACTCTTTCATGTAAGTAATTTACAACCATTATGTAATTGTGATTCTTAAATATCACAGGTTTTAAGCAACTGACGAGAACCAACGAAATAAAAATGAATTCATGCTATTCTGCTAGAATCATTGTTCTTACTCTTTTCAAAATAATAAAAAGAACTGTGTATATGAAACGGATGAACGGTTACGCAGTCATTTATGGATCAATGAAAGTTAGACATTAACACTATTGAATGCCGGCCAGCTCAGTGGTCTAGAGGTTTAGTGTTCATACGCAAGACCAAAGGTTTTGAGTTCGAATCCCACGTACGGGACTGTGAACGTGTACTTCTGAGAAGTCCCATTACTGGGAGGAAACAATCATCCAAAACTTCGAGGTCTCCCATGGCGGTCTAACTTAAATCGACTTATGAATTCAACTACTATAATTTGAAATTGTTATAAATTCAAGTAGACAAGTAAGTATGCAAAGAAACAGACAGATAGATATCAGTTTAGGGGTTTTGGAGATTGTTATGTTTTTGATTGAGATCATGAACCGATTGATGTTAGACCACCATTGAAAAGCCGGAAGGACTGGACGGCCGCTTCGTTTTATTGTGGGACTGCTCAGCAGTGCGTATCCACGATCCAGCTCGCGGGATTCGAACCACGGGCCTTCAGTCTCGCGCGCGAACACTTAACCTACAAGACCACTGAGCCCCCATCCAGTGGTGTTAATGTCTAACCTTAACCAATCCACGAAACTGCGCGACCATCTTCCATTGTATTGAGATAGACACCTGTTTCTACCCGACACGGATTATCTCCACTGGTCACGGTTTCTTACCAGATAGCTAGATAGACTAGGCTAGGCAACCACTTTTTTTACTATATAAAAAAAGACAAATTATGACGATATTATCTGTTTATCCCTTTGTAATGAATGAATTATTTATTCAAGGTTTCAATTCATAAATGATTGAAATAGAATATTATGATATGAAATCTGTCAATTTAAGAAATCAACATGTCAATTACATTACTGACTTGAGTTTAATAAAACATGAATAATGAAACAAATATAATGAAAACAATTGTAAATGATTAGCTTCATTTGGTATTGTTTGTTTGAATCTTCTCATTGTTGTTTAGGACCACAATTGATCAATCTTTTAATGGTATATGTACATCCTATGCAGATTGCCGTGATATTGCCTTAAGTCACAAGCTTTATAATCAAAGATAGATGATAGATAGCAGTGTAACGGAGAACGCACGTTTCATATTATTTGAGACGCATTAGCTGGATGTACCGGTATCCCAGAATTGATCCGCACTCCGAGACTTGAACCTAGTACCATTCGCCTCAAACGCTATCGTGTTGTCCACTTAGATACCCAGTCCTGATAAACACTTGGTGTGATGTTTAAATTCACTTGGTATTGTTTACTTGAATCTTCACATTGATGTTTAGGACTGCAATCGATTAGTGTGATATTAATATATGTGCATCCTGTACGGATTGCTTCGATATAGCCTTAGGTCACAAGCCTTTTTAAGCAAAGATAGATAGTAGTTAGCAATGGAATCCAGAACGCGCGTTTCCTCTTCAGCTGGATATACCTATATCTCAGAGTTGATGTTCATTCTAGGACTTGAACCCAGTACCATTCTTTTCTTCATAACATGACACTTCATATACACTTTCCAGTGAATTACTTTTATCTTTCAATCATCCTTATTTGTTATTATATTGAATTGTAGAAAGCTGATCGAGAAGATGTAAAAAGTTTCATTAATCGATTAGAATTTGATAGTACAAATCAAACACTTGAAAAATTAATTGAAGATCTATTCGCCAAGTTAAATGTAACGGTAAGTTCATTACTATTCAAAGTAGTATATGATGATACACTTTATTTCATATTTGTGATTGAATGTTTTATCAATGAATGAATACTAAATTCATATCTCAACTAAATATAGTAAAAGAAAATGAGACTATGTAGGAAGTTTTACCTGTTTAATGTATACATAGACTTAGACAAATGATTTCGTGGATGCTTTGTTACTTACTTACGCCAAATACTCCTGATCGAGGAGTACAGGCCGCTCACCAGTATTCTCTATTCAACTCTGTCTTGAACAATCCTTTCCAGTTGTTTCCAGATTCTGTCCATCCTTTTCATGTTTGCTTCCAATTTTCGATGTAGTGTGTTCTTCGACCATCCTCTTTTCCGTTTCTCTTCAGAATTCCAAGTTAGGACATACCTCCTGATGAAGTTTGATGATTTCCTCTATGCATGTTCTATCCACTTCCAGCATCTTTTCCTAATTTGCTTTTCAAATGGAAACTGATTTGTTCTCTCCTAAAGAAGGCTGTTGCTGATCGTATCTGGCAAACAACGGATATTGGGTATCTTGCGTAGACAACTATTAATAAATACTTGTACATTCTTGATGATGGTTGTTGTAGTTCTCCACGTTTCATTTCCGTACAGTATGACTGTCTTAACGTTCATATTGATGATTCCGACTTGGACATCGGTTGACAGTTGTTTTGAATTCCATATATTCTTCAACTGTAGGAATTTTATCTTTGCTCTGCCAATCCTCACCCATATGAGCACTCATAATTCAAAGATCGATAACATTAACGTACGTACATATAGTTATTCAAAGTAATTTGGTTGTGGGCTGTATTTATCGCATACTGACTTAAGTTGTGATATGAATGAAGATGAATGAGCACGAGACAAATGTTTCCTCTTAATATGGGACTGTTTTTAAGAACTGAATGTCTTGGGTCCAACACCTGATGGTTTATGGGTACGTGTTTCCTAGTGCTTTCTGGTTCCCATTGTTACCTCCACTGAGATCGATCTCAGACAAATACAATCAACAAATTAAATTAATCTTCACAAAATCTCTTCATCTAAGATATTTCAACTGTAGCTTAATAATTTTACTACTTATAGTAAGTACTCCATCAAGAGAAACTGTTTAGCTTGAGTTACTTAGTTAGTAATTTGAAAACAAATGAAAGATGGTCAAGTAATATCACGTACTGACTAAAGTTACACTTCCACACAATCAAATGCCGGCTTAATGGTCTAGATGTTAAGTGTTCACGTTTGAAGCCGAAGGTCCTGAGTTGAATTCCTGGTTGCGGAATCGTGGATGAACACTGCTGAGGAACCTTAAACTAAGTCAGTCAGTCAGTTACAACGTAGGGCCAGGCATATACATACATCGGTCCAAATTGTCATACATTCATTAGCACAAGAAGATGAACACCTGATTCATAGAAGCAGTCAATTCAATGGTGTAATATATAACGGAAAGACAGCATATAAGGACATGGTACAGGAAGAAAGAATTAGTTCGTAGAAAGAAAGATATGAAGTAATTTTAGTCTCACCATTAAGCCATGCCACCCAGAGTCTCCAACCATTCATTACGATAGTCATGCGGATCTCAACTAAGCAATCTGCATCTACCAACGTGGCTCAAACTGGAAGTTAGTAACTTTACAGAGTGATACTTCAAACTAGGATAAACTGACAATTCACTGCTTTCAGGCTTCTAATAGTGATCTAACTTAGATCGGTTTATGATTTAATTTATCAGAATTGGTTCATTTAATTTATCAAAGTCTAATTGTCTGGTTACTATTCCCCTTCAATAAGAAACTATTTATCTTTTCAGGAAAATGAACTCAAATCATTATTAAACGATTTACAAGAAACTATGGAAAATAAATTAGATCGTGATGAAATGGAACAATTAAGAGAATGGTTAGAGAAACGATTTAAATCAATGAATAAACGTTTGAATTCATTTACACATGATACATCACCAACTAGACAAATAACAGATGATGCTGCTGGTTTAAAACGTAGTCTTATGCAACATTATCATTGTATATCATGTGATCGTCCATTAGAGGTTGCTTTAAGTCAAGAGTAAGTTGAACAGAGTAAAAGAAAGTTGGATCGTTTTTTTGTTTGTTTGTTTTGTTAATAAAACATTAATTCACAACTACTAACTAGTGATATATCGTTGTAACTGTCTTTAAGAGTGTGGTGTGTGCTACTTATATTGAGATAAGTAGTATATGATGTGAGTCATGAACAGAAGGTCTGGCAGCAGAGAGACAAGAGGATCGAATAGTAGAGAATGGAAACAGGATGAAATTTGAGACAACTGGTGGACATTTTGCAAATTAAGCATTTACTATTTGATTGTTAGATTTTATTAACAAGTCCTGTAATCTTGTATCAAATACGTCCAATTGTCTCCACTGGTCTTCATGTTCCCTACAAGAGTTGTGTAATGTAGAGATGTGTTTGAAACTACCTCAGCAAATTTCAATCCGTTGTTACCCAATCAGGTGATAGATTTGGTGAATAGATTAGTTGTGCAGAAGAAAAAAACAAAACTTATATTGTAGTGTACGAATGCTCAGTTGAATTGACTAATTTGTTGTCGAATACATCAATCAAAATGTGAAAATCCCGAGAACAGGATTGTGGATATGCGCTGCTGAGGAGGACGAAACAGTCGTCCAGTGCTCTCTGGTTTTCAATGTTGATCTAACATCAATTAATTCATGATCTCAATTAAATCTCCACAACCCTATACTGATAACATCTATCTTTTGAGTTCTTACAATGATATTCAATTAGATAGCAGATAAACAATGGTTGATTAAGATTTAGTTTAGAAATGATTGATCTTATTTTTAACTTACCGTTTTTCCAATGCCTATAAAACTATTAGACGTTGTGGAATATCGAGGAACACAAAAGATGAACTATGATAGTTCTTTAAAATGTTTAAATTAGATGAAGTAAGTGATTAAGCTTGGTTTTAGGATATGAACCAGTAAATATCTATAAGAGATCCTATAATTTTCTTGATTGATTGACTTAGCGATCTACCGATACTCATTGTTAATATTTACTGTCTCCTACTTTGTAACTAAAACGTCAGTTAATGTAGGAAGAATAATAGGAATTAAAGAGGGAAATTGATTATGAATACAATGTTCTTGAGTAGTGTTAGAAGTATGAGGGTAGTTATCAATTCCTGGTTCCCCACAACGTGAAAAGGTTCTTCTGGAGGTACATGAAAAGGAAATTGGATTAGAGGTGGTCTTAGTGACCTGAGAACGTGATCGCAGTACCCAAGGGACAACTGCTTGAGGTCGCTCACGCATGACCTGATATCTGAAATTGTCCGATTCAATATAGTACTTGGAAGATAACAAGTGAGATATTGCCTGTCTGAATAAAGTTTCAAGTGGATTACTTTTTACATCTGTTTACCATTAATAATAACATCGTTTCATGGAATGAATATTTAATCTCAACAGTTGAGATCATGAGTCAATTGAAGCTAGACCACCAAGGAAAACCTGGAAGCACCGGACGGCCGTTCCGTACCATTGTGGGACTCCTCAGCAGTGCTCATCCACGACCCCGCCCCGCGAGATTCGAACCCAGGACCTACCATTCTCGCGCCAGGCGCTTGACCAACTATACCACTGAGCCGGTCAGCATCCAACGATGTTAATGTCTGACTTCAACACATTCACCATTGTCGTCAGTGAGTTACTACCTCACAACTGGTCACTGCTTCTCACTAGAACTTCGGGATATATCTCTTGAAGCCAGTCACTAGTGATCATATGTCGTTTAGTATCAGAAGGGGTTTTTGTAGAGATTGTAGTAATTTCAACAGTTGAAGTCATGAGTCAATTGAAGCTAGACTACCATAGAAAACCAGGAATATTTAATCGAATTCTCTGATTTGAATGGTTTGGTCGTGAAGCATTCATCATTCTACTGAATGACATCATTAGCACAAACTTTTATTTAAATTTCATTTTACTATATTTTATTTTACTAGATATGCTAAACTTAATCTCTTTGTGCTAACCCAATATGGTAACTTTGGTAAACTCACATTTATATCAAACATTACATGAATGATCAGTAACTGATTGACCTGAAACTGTGATCTTGTAAATGAAGGAACTCTTTATATACATTAGTAATCAACCTGTTAACGGAATGTAGATGGGATTAAGGTATATTCCGTGCGGGATTGTGTTGTTGCATGCTGACTGGCTATTTTTTTATCCAATCAGAGTTAGTGGATACTAGAAGAAAACTCTAGAATCTTCTCATGTAGAGATTATGGATATACTGACACTTCTCTTATTGTACTTCCTAATTCCATCTACTCTTTTCATTTGGAATAGAATTTCGTTCTTGTTCAACCTTGTTCTGATTTGGTAACTTGTCGACAGAATTGATGTTCAAGAATACCTAAGCAATAAGAATAGCTGCGTTGTAATAAAAGAAATTATAGTACAACTTTAAATGGTTATGAAGAAAAACCCTGATTGAATGGTATACACTCGTTGATTTAATAGTCATCTAATAGGAGATTTATCAAACCTTATCCGATCTTAGTATCCAATATACAATGTGACCTTCTACTATGATCAATAAATGATAACATTTGATCTGTTTCATTCTTCTCTTCATTATTTACTTCGAATTCATTACTGAGATTGGTTGAACATTGATTAATAAATAGTGAATAGTAGAACTCTTAAGAAACAAATGACTTCAATATTTATCTCTTTAATTTAATAGATATTTAGGCAGTTACCCAGCTGATAGTCGAGGATTTCCAATGAATAAATCTATACGACCATATACTACATTCGATTTGGAAAGTTTACGTCATCAAATACAAACGTAAGTTATTAGTTATTATGAGATCCTCTCTCCCATCTTCTTCTTCTTCTTCTTCTTCTTCTTCTTCTTCTCTCTCTTGCTCTTTCTATTCAATTTCTAACATATTGAATGTAGTAAAGTGTAATTACCTATTGATTCTTTACTTCATTCCTCTCTAAAAGAGAGTTACTGTTTGTTTACGGATGTTATCAATTAATCTATGACAATCTAATACAAATAGTCTCTTTAATAAAGTTGAACTATTCTGTTGAACGGTGTTGAAGATCATGGTTAGTTTTTGTCACTTAGAAATCAAACTGGTGAGATTATAATTTATGGACGACCTTTAAGTGACGCTAAAGTGACCTTGAGAGTGTCCACCTAAATGAGGGTTATAAAAGTGTGACGAATTGGAATTATGATTTACAGTTGATGGTTAGGCTTAGGAATTAGATTTCGGGGGTTTTTATCACGAACTGACATCAGTTATAATGCCAAAACTTTACTTATTCAGATGAATGAGTGAATTTTGCGCCAAAATCCGAGACTTGTCATCTTATACGTGATTGGTTCGTCTATAAATTATAATCTCACCGTTTATGATTGTATTTTAACTGTTAGAGTTCTAGATTAGGATTGAAGAACTTTTTTTGTAATATATACTAAGTTTTAATTCGAAACTGAAATACTACTTATAACCCAAACATTAACTTCAATACTAAGCATGATGAATATTGAATTGAATTATCATCTTATTCTAGATTGATTTAATCATCATGATTTTGAAGTCATTCCCTTGATCCTAATTGATTCAGTAGTATATTGTAACGCATTCTCAAATTTTTGATGATAATCAGAAATAGCTCCGAGATAATTTATAAAATCTTTTGGGTTAATTATCGACATAGTGAATGGAGGATAGTGGCATGTATCTTAGTAAGGCCGAAGAACAGTGAATGCATAATTCTAAATAAGAACGATATCGAACCTACTTTAATGAAGAAGAAAAAACATTAAATGGATCCAATTTCACTGTGCTTTATTATCACCATTTATTTGAACACATAAACAAGAAGACACCGAAAATATATGTGCCTAACAAACCATTTGATTTGTGTGAGGTCTAGAATACTAACCAGGTGTACAAATCGAACCAGGTGGTCTTTTAGTAGGCCACTCCCTTAGCTTTTGACCTAAAGGTTTGATCCACAAGGCAGTGGTGCAACGTAAGAAGATGCAGGCCCATGGTAGCCGGTCCATACACTATTTATTTCCTTAGGATCCTGGAACCCATGTTCATCGATGATTTTGACATTCACATTTCGTCCTCTCAATTTCGTAACCAACATTCCCAACGCGAGAAAGCAATGAGTAGGGCTTATATGGAAGTAGTTGTATGCACGTAGACATGTGAGAGTATTTCGACAGAGAGAGCTTACTCTCCCCATTCTCGGCTGTACCAGAGCATTTGAGGGGCTTATTACCAACTCACTGAGAAAATGATTAGAGAATGAGATGAATTTTGAAAAATGATCTAATTTCTGAAGACATAACAAACTACCCAACAGGAAATCAATCAGATCATCTAGTAGCACAAAACAGACTGAAATGAATTAGAACTTCATAGTAAAGTACATTAGTTATCTGTTATTTCTTTAATATTCCTAAATAATGATTTAATTTAATAGTTGAATTCATGAGTCAGTTAAAGCTAGACCACTATGGAAAACCCAAAAACACTGAACAGCCGTCTCGTCCTACTATGAAACACCTCAGCAGTGTACATCCACGATCCTGCCTCGTGAGATTCAAAACCAGTACTTAACAGTCTCGCACGCACGCTCCTAACCTCTGATATGGAGTCTCATACTAGGACGAAACGGCCGTCCTGTTCTTTCAAGTTTTCCATGGTGGTCTAGCTTCAATTGACTCATGAATTCAACTATAGGAATTACTACAATCTCCATAAAACCCCTTCTGATACTAATTTTTAATTCATTAAAGTGAAGTATGCATAGAAGAAGGAAAAAAACGATGATAATCAGGGATACTCTTATATCAATGAAGCTACTTGTTTTTCTCTTACCTACATAAAACTCTTGTTATAATATAAGCTTCGGTACTGTATAAAATGAATTGGGTAAGCTTAGAAAAGGGATTTGGAAGATGATGAAGGGGTGAGACACAAATACACACACACACCCGAAGAATTGAAGAAATCATAGAAATAGAGAATCGAATTAAAAGATCATTTGGTGAACGAAAATTGTTTATTTTGCTTTGTGTGTGTGTGTGTGATATTTTCCAAATCAAAATCCTTGATGGGATGTAAGAGAGAAACTAATTGAGATACAATTAGATCTAGATCATAATTGTATATATCAATTAAACTAAATAAGTAGTTTATTTAGATTACTATTAGGATAGTTACATAATATACAGACTAGAATATTCTATAAACTATTGTAGTATACCATTTGTATTGTGTGGAGTGCACATATATTGCCTGATCCTACGTTGTAGCTGACTGACTGTCTGACTGACTGACCATTTGTATTGCATGACAACATTATAGAAAGGAAAGAATACTATTCAAAACCAAATGTTTTTCTACCTTAAGTTATTGATAACAAGAAATAAGTAGTTGGTATACGAATCTTCAACAATTGAATAAGTGAAATTAAATTACTATGAAAATGTTATTAGTACTTATGACTGAATAAAGTTTAACTATTCTATATAGTAAGTAGTAGGATAATATTTCCAACAATATTCATTCAATATAACAGACTAATTTTAAGGGTTACTTGATATCTTATCAATCAATAGCATTGAATAATGATGGCTCATTATTGCCAGTCAACTGAAGTTAGAAATGTAAGTTAGTAATCTAATAGTTGAATGTTTACCATAAAACACAAAAATCTCGGGTTCAATGCCTTTTGAGGTTTATGAATCTTTTTATTATTTATTTGAACAAATAGATATTGGTACAAGGAGGCGTCACATACATATGCGCCACACAAATCTCATTTGATTTGTGCGAGGGCTGTGATACTTCCCTGGTGCCCAAACCGATGCAGGTTGCTTTCTTAAGGGGCCACATCCCGAGCCGAACATTCGCTTTTCGTCCTCTCAATTTTGTAAACAACACCCCCGCCACGAGAAAGCAATGAGTAGGACTTTCCTGGAGGCAGCTATATATGCATGGCCATGTGAGAGCATTTCGAGAGGGAGAGCGGACTCTCTCCATTTTCAGCCGTACCAGGGCATTTGGGGGCATTATGAGTCCTATTCTACGACGAAACAGATATCCAGTCCTTCCAAGTCTTTAATACTTGTTTAGCTTAGTTTGATTCGTGATATTAGTAATATTCAATAATCTCTACAATCCGATACTGATAGTAGTGCATGTAACCGATACAAAAGAAATAGTGCTACAACGAGTCAATCAGTCAAATGATAAGCACACGTTACTGGCCAATATTTGGCTTCCCTTACAAATAAACGAGACAAACACTATTTCAATAGTTGAGATCATGAGTTAGGCCACTATGAAAAAACTGGAAGCACTGAACAGAGGTTTCGTTCTATTGTGGGTCTCTTCTACAGTGAGAGATTCGAACCCAGGATCTTCGGTCTAACTTCCATCGATCCATAAATGACTGCGCAACCATTCTTTCATTGTCTGAAGTAGAAACCTGTTTCTACCCAACACGGATTCAACTCCACAGGTCATGGCTTCTCACTAGAACTCTACGAAATCCATCTTGAAGCTAGTCACTTGCGAGCATATGATAATTATTATTAGAATAAGGGTTTGTGAAGATCATAAATGTTTACTTCTGAAGAGTCCCATACAAGGACAAAACTGTCATCCAGCATTTCCGATTTCTCCATGATGATCTAGCTTACATCGACTCTTAAATTCAACAATTAAAATATATTTTTCTCATTAGTTTCTTTTCTATCTCTAAAATATAGATAATAAACTTTTTCATCACAAAAGTCAAAACATTTTAATAAAAATTTAATTTTCCCGACAAGGTCATTCATAATAGTTGATATAAGATTTAAAATGTTATTCAAAATAAACTAACACTTATTATAGGTATCCATAGCAAACTTGAACTTGATAAACCCAGTTGGTGTTGTTTACTTGAATCGCCCCATTGTTATTTAAGACTACAATTAATCAGTCTCTTGTTGGTCTACGTGCGCCCTATGAGGATAGCCCCGATATTGCCTTAATTCAGAAGCATTATATGTCGAGATGGATAGTGGTTAGCAGTGGAAGCCAGGACTCGCGTTTCATCCTATTTGGGACTCGTCAGTTGGATGTACCTGTATCTCAGAATTGATGTTCACAAGCAGGTGGCTATCAGGACTCAGTAGTTAAGTAGATAACTTGATGGCGTTTGAAGCGAACTGTCCTGGGTTCGAGTTCCAGAGTGAACAATAACTCTGAAATGCAGGTACATCCAACTGACGAGTATCAAATAGAAGGAATCGCGCGTCCTGGATTCCACTGTTAGCCGCTATCCATTGTTGAACTTGATAGTTTCAAATAAATTGAGCATTGGATAAAGAGTTAATGATAAATATAATTTTTCTCATATCAAAATGAGTAGAAAATTTGTATTTTCGACTTTTTGTGTTAAGTTAATATCGATTATTTATCTATTCACTCTGACGAAGTGACTTATTTAAGTTACGAAACGTCAAAAATACAATTTTACTACTCTTTAGGATAAAACAAGAAAAACTATATTCATTATTAATACTTATTATCTTTTTCCTGATTAATTAGTTTTATTCACAATAAAAAAATATCAATTTTAATAGTTAAGATCATTAATCAATTGAAACTAGATTACTATAGATAACTTGGAAGCACTAGATGACCGTTTCGTCCTATTATGAGATTCCTCAGTAGTACGCATCCACAATCCTGCCTCGCAAGATTCAAACCCAGTACTTATCCGTCTCGCATACGAGCGATTAACTTCTAGACCAATCATTTTTCATCATTAATATTGATCATATGAAGGTCTAGATAGTGTTCGAGTTCTCCTGAAAATCAATGTAGAATACCCCTAACCCATAAGGGTATACTATTATGTAACTAATTGTAATAATTTTTCATTATGAAATCATATATATATATATATATATATATATATATTACTATTTTGCTTTTCATCTATTTTGTCTACAGACGATCTAATAAAGCATTTTATGTAGATCCACCATATAGACGGTAAATTTTACACTATTTATCATCTATTTGTATTCACCTATATTATCATTAATGAATGCACAAAATCATTGATAACAATTTATTATTTCGATCGATTGGTTACATTCCTTTTTTTTGTCTTTCCTTTTTTTTTTGTTTTATTCAACATTTGTCAACATTTCCCATCATGTTTAATTATCTCTCCCTTCATCTCGCTGTTTTTTTATTATTTTTCTTTTGTTTGTTTTCGTTTGTATCCCTGTGATCAATGTGTGTGCATATGACATTTAAATGTGTGCTAATATTAGAAAATGTATACAAAATTGATCTTGATTTATAATGTGAATGAATATGATCATATATATGTGTGTGTGTATGTGTGTAAAAATTGTGAAATTCATCAGAATTTCATTTTTGATTGAGATCATTAACCGATTGATGTTAAACCACCGTTGAAAACTAGGAACCACCAGACGGCCGTTTCGTCCTATTGTGGAACTGCTCAGCAGTGCGCATCCACGCTCGCGAGATTCGAACCCAGGGCCTTCGGTCTCGCGCGTGAACACTTAACCTACTAGACCACTGAGCCGGCATCTAATGGTGTTATTGTCTAACGTCAACCAATGCACGAAATTGAGTGACCATCTTTCATTGTATTGAAGTAGATACCTGTCTCTACTCGACACGGATTAGCTCTACTGGTCACGGCTTCTCACTAGAACTCTGAGAATTCCCTCACGAAGCTAGTCACTGGTCAGCACATGTTAATTACCAGTATAGGGGTTGTGGAGATTATTGAGAATTTCATTTTCCTCTATATATTTTTGTTTTGCTTTATTATTGATTAATGTTACATAACGAATAAGTTTCTCTTCACGTGTGTATTATTCATAAATTGTTTCTTTTCAAAAGTGTAGAGAATTTCAATAGTCGAATTCATGAGTTGATTAAAGCTAGAGCACCATGAAAAACCTGAATGCACTGGACAGCCATTTCGTCTTAGCACGGAAATCCCCAACAGTTCTCAATCAACATTCTACATGCAAGACTTGAACCCAGAACTTTCAGTCTCACGCGCAAACAAGTGGAATCCAGTCGATGTCGGAAAGATACTGTTACCCACCGAAGACAAGGGATGAAGAGGTGCGCATGGTCATGGAATGATTAAAGTTAGGCTTTAAAACCACTGGATTCAGGCTTAACGGTCTAGCGGGGGTGAGTATTCGCCAGCAAGACCAAAGGTCGGGATTCCGAGGCCCACTTGAGGGATTGTGAAAGAGTACTGCTGAGGAGTTCCATTCTAAGACAAAATGGCTGTCCAATTCATCCAGTTTTTCAATGGTGGTCTAGTTTAGATTCAACTGTTATCATTAAATTAAAAGTTGAACAAGGATGGATGGTGGCCAGCAATGGGATCTAAAACTCACGTTTCGTTCTATTCAAGACTCATTTACAAGATTTGCTTGCTGTAAACACGGTTGATATTTACTCTGGGACTTGAAGTCAGTACCGTTAACTTCAGACGCTATCATACCATCCACTTAGCTACTCAGTCCAGATATCCACTGGCTTGTGTAGTGGGGTGGATTTTAATCCATTTTTGTATTGATTTTTTGGATCTTCCGCTGATATTTAAGACTGTAATTGATCAATCTCTTTTAGTGTGTCGTTGTTCGAAATACATATGAATACAAATTGAACAAGTTATACAAACCTTTTATTCTAATAAACAATTCAGTGGTCTTGTTTAACGGCATTTGCAACAACGTTGCTTACCTACTTACGCCCACCAGCATTCTCCATCCAACCTTGTCCTGGACAATCGTTTCCAGTTCTTTCTAGTGGATATTCATCCTTTTCATATCTGCTTCCAATATCCGACGCAGTGTATTTTTCAACATTCTTCTTTTCCGTTTCCCATCAGGATTCCAAGTTATGACTTTTCTCCTAATGAAGTTTATTGATTTCCGTAATGTATGTCCTATCCACTTTCAAATTTCCTTTTCAGATGGAAGCTGGTTTGTCCTCTTCTACAGAAGACTGTTGCTGATTGTATCCGGCCTACAACGCATATTGATTATATTGAGTAGACAACTATTAATAAATACTTGTACCTTCTTGATGATGGTTGTTGTAGTTCTCCACGTTTCCGCTCCGTACAGTAGAACTATCTTAACTTTCGTATTGAAGATTGTGACTTTGATATTGGTTGACAGACGGTTGTTTTAAGTTCCAAATATAACTCATAACATCAAGATGTTCATAATTTAACACTGATAATCTATTCTCTATTATTTAGACCAGATGGTAATTTCAATGATCCATTTAATTACTTACTTAATGGAATCCAAAAATTAAGAAAATCTCACCGACATATCGGTACATACATTGGTATCTAAGTAATTTTTAAAGTTATGACATTGTTTATTAAGTCTTAAGTAAATTCTAATCTCTAAGCCTATTTTAATACATTTCAACAATACGCACACACACACACACACATTGTACCTTATTCCTTTTATAGTTAATGGCAATGCACCTGTTTACCCATTTATTTATTTGTATGTAGTATAATGTAATGTGCATGGGTTTTTTTCTTTCACACGTATACATATGCTTGATAATTCATATGAATTAATGTCATCTATTAAGTGACCTGTAAAGTTCTTACTTTCTGAAATCAACGCATGTATAGTTATTTTCATTGTTTAAATTATCACTAAAGATTTAAAAGCACTGAGCTGTTGTTTCTTTATGGCATGAGACCCTTCAGTAGTGTAAATCACCATCTAGCATCCAGGGTTCGAACCTAGGGCAATCGATCTTTTATGCAAACTATTGGATTATAACCAATATGTTACATGACTTATCATCTAGTGCCAATCTAGAAAATCACTCTGTAAATCCTCATCTCTACAAATGCAATTGTACTGATAAAATCATCATTATGTTAATGATATATGTAAAGGTGGATGGCGGTTAGCAGTGGAATCCAAGACTGAAACCTCGTTGTATTTGGGACTCGTCCGATGAATGTATCTGCAGCCGAGTCGATATCTACTTCAGGATTCGAACTTAATCCGGTTTACTTTGGACACCATCGCATTATCCACATAACTACGAAGTCCTATTAACTACTAGCTAGCCCCTTATCGATCTTTACTTATAATGCTTATAACTTAAGGCAATATCGAGTTAATCCCCATAGGATAAACATATGTCAATAAGAAACTGACCAATTGCAGTTCTAAACATCAACGGATAGATACAAACAAACAACATGAAATGAATTCAAATGTTAATTTAATAAACAACAAGATACAAATCCAAAACAATTTTGTTATTTCTAAAGAAACCGAACAAATAACATGAAAATGATTTCAACATTCTATGATCAACAATAACAATATGCTCGGTATTTTAAATAGCCAATTCATGTTCTATCTGTCTATATATATATATATATATATATGTTGAATGTAATCAATGTACGTTGTAGGTAGGAGTCTTCTAAGAAAAAGGTTACATTAGTACAATTTATTGCTGTTATCCTCCCCATTTCTTTCTTTCTTTCTTTCTTTCTTTCTTTTTTGAATCAGTTATAATTGTAATTATTATGATGTTTATGGTGGTACACCACGTCAATGTGGTGGAACGCATACAACTGCACCATCGTCCAAAAGGAAATCACGTGCAACAACGTGTAAAAGGTTAATTTTCTAAATTTTTTTTGTTGCCATCTGATATTTGAACTAATTTAATTAAGTGTTTTGTTTTATTGATAATACCGTTTGTTAAATTTAGTTGCCAAAATATTTACTCGGGGCTCTCTACAAATTTTTACGGACTGTCCGATGTGTATGCTTATGTATAAGAATTGAGTAAGTTTTGGCTTGAATGCTTGATGTTTGTTGGTAATATGCAAAGAGTACGCAAATGGGTTAGTACAACGAACGTAAGCTGGAAGAAATGCCTACCATATGTTTAATTAAATAAGCGGCCTAAACATATGATAGTAAATACTAGGGAGTGTTTATGGTTATTTGTATGTCATGAAGTGCAAGAGCAAAAGCCATTGTACTAGTGATATGCATGTAATTCGTAAGTGACGGTTAGTTGTAGTAAATATGTTTAAAGGGAGTGGTGACCATTTACCCTCCCAGATGATGGAATATACCTATATATATTCTATGGGTTGCATGACTGATATCTTATGTGCTACCGGTATGCATATAGACTATACTTTTCCATGGTGCGACGCCCGCTCGCCAAGACCTGGGAATAATAATTTCCTCACAAAATAATATCCACATGGCAGGTTTGTGAGCTTTGAGAAACAAAAACCATTTCTAGAAAAGCCAATCCGGCTTCACCGGATAAGGATTAACGAACCTTAACACGTCTAAAACACCGTACCGTATCAACTAATTTACAACCTAAGTATCTTACCTAGAAGATAAATGATGCTAGATAATAGTGCTTAAAATGTACCTGTATTGATAGATATTCGAAATAGCTCAAATTGTATCTATTATCTTAGTCATTGAGCTCTTCGGGATAATCAGTAATTTATTTATACGTTATTCTTTAGTCTGTAGAATTATGGTCTACTATGATATCAGTATCGCTCTAATAATAGACTTAATCCTAAAATGGTAAATTTGTCATGATGTAACTGCCTAATCTATAAGATCTTACATGGAAGTCACATTGTTATCTACACCAACTTATCGTATCGTAACAATTACCAATAAATGATGAAGAACATACTTAGGCTAGAGATAGAACAGTATATTTAATATGAATAAAAGGTATATGTTAACACTTAATAATGATCACGCCTGTAAGGTCAAGTCATGCCATCCAATGGATTCGAACTCATTCCAATCATTGTTCTCGCCTTCTTCATCGTCGGGTTTTTCTCCGTGTTAAATGTTGAACATCTAATTTCTCACGACATGTCTAACACTTTCATTTCATTGACACATTATGGCTATGATAATTTGTTATCCTCATCTATTGACTGTATAACTCACAATTTTCTATCAAAACTCTAATATATCTAACTTTATATTACCAGTCAGTAAGTAAAAGATCATTGTTCAATGAACTGACCTAGTCAGACTTATGTTTTGAATATTATTCAAATCTAAATTCTAATTATTAGATCTTAAATTACAACGTGTTGAGACAATTCTCACATGAAGAATAATGAAACTTATTTCAATCAACCTACTGATATTTCTATTCTTCAAAACTAAGAACATTCAGAGTGATTGATTAACCGAGTCTAGACCTATTAAGTGTATATGCTAACATGGTATCTAAGGTGCAAACGATAGGTTACTTACTTACGCCTGTTACTCCTCGTGAAGACCGCCCGACGACACCCTCCATCCAACCATGTCCTAAGCAATGCTTTCCAGTTCTTTCTAGTTGTTATTCATCCTTTTCATATCTGCTTCTATTTCCCGACGTAGTATGTTCTTTCGCCTTCCTTTTTTCCGCTTCCCTTCAGGTAAAAGACTATAAACATTGCATACTAGTGGAGAATACTTATAATCCATTTCATCATGGTCTTAGCCTATATTTCCTTGTCTAGGCTAGAAGGACTGATGTATACTTAACTAGGATTTGTGTAAACATTATTTGGTTTGTTAATTATGACTTTTTAGGCATTTCTTGGTTTTTCACTGGCAAAATGTGTTGAATAATCGTGTATACCTGCATCAGTGGAACTAATTTTGTTCTATGTAGCTTAAGCTTTTCAATTATCGGTTACCAAAACGAAATGGGCCGCAAGATGGATCTATGCACTTCGAAATATATTTTAGCCTAACAGTTAATACCTTCGTGAATTGATGCCAAATTTCGATCTTCTTACTGTCGGCCTATTTTTACAGTTTACTCCAATAGCAGAGAGCATAAAGCATCCGAACTAGCGGCCCCTTACCATGAGTAAAACATAATCCAACGATTTCAGTTGATGAAATTTCAAAAATAATGCAAACCAAACAGGCATTTAAACCTAGTGAACTTATGCCTAATCTTGACATTAATCTATGGTTTCAGCAAATGTAGACATTGACTCGAAGAGATCAATGACTGAACATTAGCAATCCATGTTTTTCAGAGAGAGAGTAATACAGAGTGAACCACCGTACAATATGCTCTTTCTTTCTTAGACGAACGGTACTAGTGACAAACGTTTCACGGGAACTTTTCCACTGTGACATTGAGAGACTAAAGTGAAGTTGATTTTTATTTAACAGTTAAGTTTTGTACCCCAGTCAACAAAGTTCCAATTCAAGATTCTAATGAGATTCAGTAATCAGCTTGTTACGTTCTAAGTTTCGATCTAATAAACAACATACTCTCATATTAGCATGATCAATCCGTATATTAAAACAACATAACATTTTATTTATTTTCATTTAGCTCTCTTCATGATGGTGATGTCACAACAAAGTCTTCCATTCCATATACTCACAGGTAATCCAAATGTTATGGAATTTTGTATAATGACAGCAGATTAAATGTTGAAATGATGAAGTTATTCACTTATGCAATATAGTTTTACTATCTTTTATACTACTACTACTACTACTACTACTTCTGATGTTGTTACCATTTCTACAACTGTGGGATTTATCTTGATAATTTCACCACTCTGTTTTAATGTAGTGGTTATATATGTGCCAAGTTTTACGTTGCACTTGACTCATTGACTAAACACTGAAAACCAGGATGAACCAAACAGATTTCAAACATAATATGGGAATCCATGGCGGTACTAACCCGCAATCATATCAGCAACAGAATGTAGAACCTTCAGGTCACGCGATAAACATTGCCACTAGAACCCCTAAGATGGCTTCCGGTTTTAATCAACTCATGTTATAAAATTATGATCTCAAAATGAGATTGGTGACAACAGTTATACTAGAAGTCTCCAGAGAGAGCTGAAATTCTTGACTTCGAATCTGGGATAGGTCGTGATTAATCACTGCTGAGTAATCCACTCAATTTCGTAAACAACAGTAATGCCACGAGAAGGTAGTAAATAGAACTTCCCCGACAGTGACTCTATACACGTGGCCGTTTGAGAGAATTTCGAGAGGGTGAGCTAATTCTCCCCACCCTCGTCCGTGCCAGGGCATTTAGGGGCCTCTTCGAACTAAACGAAGTCAGAGAATCATAAAGAACCTGGGATTCTTGCTACGCATCAATTAAAAGACAGGTCAAAATCGATCTAGTCTCTGATTCACTAAAAAAAGAGATAAACGACCGTGAGGTCAGAGATAAAGCACAGCAATAAGTTAACTAAAATTAAAGTCCAGACAACAACTACAAAATTCTGGACATTAACTAATCGAATCTCAGGAAAAAAACAATTGTAGAGTAATTCTAATAGTTCGTTTCCTTTCGAAGTATGTACTGATTTTACTATCTAGAAAGACAACGAAAACTTCACAACTAAACTATTCAGTTCAGAAGACACAACACTTTCGACCTCTTTCTTCTGAATTAAAAATATTCTTCATCATCTTTATTGTCTATTTAGTTTCTTCTTGCTTTCATTCGAAATCGTCTTCTTTTTGTTCTCTAGAGAAACTCTTAATTTACAAGGTATGGATGGTCATATCTATCGTGGTTCGCCAATACAAGAAGGTCAACATTTAGCAAATAATAATGATTTGTCAGCGGGGAAAGATGAAGAGAATCTAGATAAAGATTCTGATCGAAATGAAAAGCTACCACCAGTTTCAAAGTCAAGTCGTTATGTTAATACAGTAACAGCACGACCTCAAGTAAGAGAGATACGTTTTCTCATGCGTTTTTTCGGATGTGTTTTCTTAATTTGATGAATATTTTGGGGATAATTGGAAGAAAGTCAAGGGTGGCCAAACCAAAACGTTGCATCAGTGCTTGAAGTCACCAACTTCTAATCTGAGCCATGTTGGTAGATGCAGACCACTTGGTTGAAGTCCGCACGACTTCGTAACCAAGGGACAGAGACTGTGGGTGACATGGCTCAGAATAGATCACAATGGTGTAGGCGTATAAACTCTCTGTCTTCCCTTAAACTATGCGATTAAAATCGCTTCATAACTTTCTACGAACTAACTCTTTCTTCCTGTACTATATCCTTATATGCAATCTTTCTTTTCTGTATTGCCACCATTGAATTAACTACTTCTATGAATTTGGTGTTCATCTTGTTGCGCTAATGAGGTATTGCAACTTGGAAAGATGCACATATGTGCCTGGTCCTACGCTGTAGCTGACTGACTGATATGTTTTAAATTTTTTTTAATAAATTATTACAATAAGGATCGATGAGCATTCAGAAGCGAGTCAAGAACAACCACTTAACAATTAGTTAATATCAAAATGGGATTTTGTGGATATCATATTAATTTCAGTAGTTGAGATCATGAGTCGATTGAAGTTAGACCACCATGGAAAACCTGGAAGCACTGGACGGCCGTTTCGTTCTATTGTGGGACTCCTCAGCATTACTCATCCACGATCCTGTCTCGCGAAATTCGAACCCAGGACCTATCGGTCTCGTGAGCGAACGCTTAACCTCCAGACCACTGAGCCGGCATCCAATGATGTTAATACCTAACTCCAACTAATCCACGGAATTGAGCAACACACCAACCATTATCTTCAGTGAGTCACTATCTGCGCACTGCTGAGGTGTCCCAAAATAGGAAGATACGGCCGTCCAGTGCTTCCAGGTTTTCCATGATATTCTAGCTTCAATTGACTCATGATTTCAACTATTGAAATTAATTAATAGTAGATAATCCCCACCAATCGTAACAATCAACAGTTGTTTTATTCGATTTTGAAATTCAGCACTAATAAATAACTAACTGATTACTAAGTAGTTATCACAGATATGTTTGTCTAGTCCTTTAAAATTGATCAAGTTCTACAAACCAAGTTGAAATATAGCTGTTAGTTTGAATAATCTGACATATAAACACTTAGCATCTTAATATACTGCATATGATTCCAAAAGTGATTGATTGATTGTTACTCAATGTACAAGTGGTCACTCACAACTCGATCAATGGTAACAGCTTGCAATGTGTTGTACCACTCAAATTCAAATCACACATAGAGTATCAGTCCATTCAAGAACAAAAGTACACTCTGCTAATGAGTACCAACTAGTATGAAACCTATATGAAGCAAAGTATTCCATCAAGTATCTTCTTTATTGTACATCTCAATTTTTTTTAAAAAAAAACACATAGGCCCATATGAAATCGAAGCCAAAGCCAGATTTCATCAACAGAATATTATGATACAAGTTAACTATTGCTTTCCCTTATCCCATTCTATTCAATCTAATAATATTCATTATTATTTTCCAATATGCAACAACTTTGTTTTTGTTTGTTTTACAATTCTATCTCTTGTTTTGTTAGCAACAGAGTACTATCACTTTCGATTCAAACAAACAAATAAACCATGTTATGATGGAGTTTTGTTCTCGGATTTGAATGGTTTGGTCATGGAGCTTTCATTGTTCTACTGAACCACATCATCAGCACAAACTTCAGATAGAAGTGAAGTGTTCGAATTTCTTCACATGTGGTTCACAGCTTGTCTTGTACACCTCGATGTTGATTAGTTCTTGTTGACCTTTAACCTGCCATTGTTTACTTCTTTGTTTTAAGTGTATTTTACATTGGTTTGATTTTTGTTCCTATGTTTGAGCATAATTTTCCTGATCAATTGATAAATTGGATTGATTTCAATGTGCTTGTTTATTTCTGACTGACTTCAGTGCTAAGCTTCGAAAAATTCTCTGGTGTTATCAGGATTTCCTCTATCCAAAATATTCACAGTTTTCCAGTCGAATGTGTGTCCACAGTTGTCCATGTGCATTGATATAAGCGAGGATATGTCATGGTGTTTGACTGCTAATTGTTGTTCATGCAGGCGAAGATGGAGAGGGCGTTCGCTTTGTCCGTTGTAGTATCTTTTGCAGTTGTCACAAATTATTTTATAAATGATATTTAGTTTGTCTTCTTTCGTCATATCATCCTTTGGTTTGCATAGAATTGATAGTAGGAATTTGGTTAGTTTGTATTCAACATCTATTCCAAAGGTTCTCAGCAGTCTCGTTGTCGTTTCTGATATAAACCATATTAATTATGATCATATGAATTTCGTCCATGTTGAAGTTATCGTCAACTGTTTTATCAATTTTTTTTCTTCAGTGATAAGGAGAATTTATCACAAGGGGGTTTAGTGGAGATTTTAGTAATTTCAATTGTTGAGATCATGAGTCAATTGAAGCTAGAACAGCATTGAAAACCTGGAGGCACTGGACGGCCGTTTCGTTCTATTGTGGGACTCTTCAGTAGTGAACATCCAACCCCCCCCCCGGGATTCAAACCCAGGACCTACTGGCCTCGCGCGCGAGCACTTTACCACTAGAACACTGAGCCGGCCGGCCTTCAAAGGTGTTAATGTTTAACTTCAACTAGTCCACGGAATTGAGCGACAAATCTACCATTGTCTTCAGTGAGTTACTATCTCACAACTGACCCGGCTGAACTCCATGAACTCAGTTTCGTGGATTAGTGGAAGTTAGACATTAACACCGTTGGATATCTATATTTTGTCTAAAATTTCAGTTTAGATAAATATTAATTCATTTGAATAGTATAAATAGTATGGTATTAGACAGTGTTAGTTGTAAAGTGTTTACTTTGTCTATTTTTCTTCTTGTTTATTGATATGTAAATAGTTTGATTCATTTTTTTAGGATGGATACTTTTTAAAGAGTAAGAGTTAAAACACTCGGGTAATTTTTTCTTAACTTTGAACAACCATTCCTTTCTATAAATGTCACTCCACTAACGATCGAGGAAATTAGGATTACTATTAAACAAATCAAGAGTGGGAAAGCAGTAAGACTTGATAATATACCAGCTGAAACTCTGAAGTCAGACATAGAAATAACTGCAAGCATGTATTTAGGAAGATTTGGGGGAAGAACAAATGCTGATGGACAGGAAAGAAGGACACCTCATTAAGAAATGTGAGTAAGTGTGAGAAATCAGCTGCAGAGGAATCATATTGTTGTCATTAGCAAGAAAGGTTTTGAACAGAGTTTTGTTGAACTCGGTGAAAGACCCAATAGACGCCCAACATCAAAATCAACAGGTTGAATTCCGTAAGGATCGGTTGTGCACAGACCAAATCACGACATTAGGGATCATCGCTGAGCAATCAGTTGAGTGGAACTCGTCACTAATTCCTCAGCTTCATTAACCATGAGAAGGCGTTTGACAGTATAGATAAAAGGACCTTATGGAAACTTCTTTAACATTATGGTGTACTTGAAAAGAATGTCAATATCATCCGGAATTCATACGACGGACTACACTGTAAAGTGGTGCATGTAGCACAACTGACAGATGCATTTCAAGTGAGTCAAACAAGACTGCCTACTTTCGCCTTTTCTATCTCTTCAGGTGGTCAACTAGATTGTGAAGACCTCCACATCTAAAGGGAAGCACGGAATACAGTGGACAGCTTGGATGCAATCACACGATTCAAACTTTGCAGATGACCTGGTCCTCCTATCCCATGCACACGAACAAATGCAGATAAAGGCAACCACTGTAGCAGCAGCCTGTGCAGCAGTAGGCCACAACGTACACCAGGGAAAAAGCATGACCCTCAAATACAACACAGAGAACACCAACACAATCACATTTCATGGAGAAGCTCTGGAAGATGTGGAATATTTCACGTACCTGGAAAGCATCATCGATGGACAAGGAGGATCTGATGCAGACATAAACGCAAGGATTGGCGAAGCAAGGATAGAATTCCTACAGTTGGAGAACATATGGAACTCAAAACAACGGACAACTAATATCAAAATCAGAATCTTTAATACGAACATCAAGACAATCCTACTGTATGGAGCTGAAACTTGGAGAACAACTACAACCATTATCGAGAAGGTACAAGTATTTATTAATAGTTATCTACGCAAGAAACTCAATGACCGTTGTTGGCCAGATACCATCAGCAACAGCCTTCTGTGGGAGAGGACAAACCAGTTTCCATTTGAAAAGCAAATTAGTAAAAGACGCTGGAAGTGGATAGAACATACATTGAAAAAATCACCAAACTGCATCGGGAGGTATGTCTCAACTTGGAATCCTGAGGAGAAATGGAAAAGAGGAAGGTTGAAGAACACATTACTTCGAGAATTGGAAGCAAACATGAAAAGGATGGACAGAACATGGAGACAACTGGAAAGGATTGTTCAGGACAGAGTTGAATGAAGAAAGCTAGTGCATGGACTGTTCTCCTCCACGAAGGGTAAGGGGCGTAAATAAGTTCAACAACCAATCAAAACATTCTATGCAAAAACTTTGAAGAATTTATATCAGAGATGGGCGAACATTATTATTCAGTGTCATAAACGTAAAAATACGCCATCAAGTGATTGGAAAATAAACAAATAATAATATGCTTTTGGATGAATGTGATCCAAAGATCCTAGTCTACTTAATTCTGATTTATACTCTTTCCTATATTCTATTATTTTTCTTAAAAAAAAGTGTTTAATTTTCAAATCAAATCAAGTCTTGATTAAATACTTATTCATTATATGACTTTATTCTATCATGTGGTATGGCAACTTGAACTGATGTACGTACATACGAAATTCTGCGTTGTTGCTAACGTACTGACTGATTCTATCATCCCTTAGTATAAAGCAACTATTAGATGGTGGTTGGAGGTAGTCAACATGATCGATAGCATTCGGTCTGCACTAATAAGAACTAGACAAGCATGACATTGATCACCACCCAGTGATCAATCAATTGTGATAAAGCAACTATCCTACAACCCATTTCAAATACGATTAACTTTTGTCAAACCCTTTTATTAACTTACTTAACAGACAATGTTATTGGAACAGTAACAATTCGCTTATATCTTTGTACTATTATGATCACTATCATATCTGCATAAACGTTTACCTTGATCACATGACAGCCTACGTGCATATCTCTCTCTAGCTAAAATGCTAACCGCCTAAATATCGCTCGATGATTCATTCTTTTCCCCATGTATATACGTACTTGAATACTATTATTAGCCTTTGTATTGCCTAGCTGCGCCTTATTCGATTTGACTATAAATTTGCCTCTGCATTTGCTCGTATACACATATTCGCCTCTCCGCTTTGAATTCGTTTGTTATCTGTTCTATCCGCAAATAACTGTAGTCGCCGCATCTTATTGCCTTCTGATTTCAAAACACTGTTGAGATTTATATAATAACAGTTACAAAAGTGATTGATTAACGAAGCAAAGCCAATGTAATTAGATCGTAATTAATTTAGTCTACATCAGGACCCAGATCAAGTTGAATATCAACAATGTTAAACTACACTGTGTTGTTGGTGACTATAAATGACACGGAAAAACTACCTAGAGATTTATATTCCCTTGCTAGTTAATTGAATACATAGATTGTCAAATTGAAGAATCAATAATGAGAATCTAACAAATTTTGTTTGTACATAATGGTTACACTTAACTTAGAAGTTTTTTCACGTTTAATTGTCAACTTCTATGAATTCGGTGTTCATTAGTCTAGGTGACTAGATATTGCGTGCTCTATGTTGAGATAGGATGGTGGTTAGAGGTATTCAACAGGATGCCGTGGACCCGGGTTTCATACTATTTGGCACAAAACGAACAACTTTTGTCACTCTGAGAATTGTTCAAATGAAGTACACCATCATAGACTTAAAATATAACATTATATATAATACTTACTTACGCCTGTTACTCCTCGTGGAGGAGCATACGCCGCTTACCAGCACTCTTTACCCAACCCTGTCCTGGGCAATCTTTTCCAGATCTTTTCATTTGTTATGCATCCTGTAGCATGTAGCTCTTCTAGAGTTACTGACGGTCCTAAGCCCGGGTAAAGAAGAAGGATTGGGCATAGGGTTAGCGACTCCATCTTTAACCAACTAGTGACTGGGTTCGCGCCAACATTCAAGACCTGTTATCTTAAATCTGATTAGTTCGTCCACAATATTATAATCTTGTCTTATAAAGGAATTCATACCTATAATCTTACTCAATCTTCTTTTGTTTGTTTGTTTGTTAAATATAACTAAATACAAAGGTTGCTTATAAATATATTGGTTCAGAGAGACGTGAAAAAAGTCAATCACCTCAACGTATAAAACGTGTTAATTCAGATGAATTTCCATTAAAACAATTCAATTCAAATGGTATAGAACATTTACCTCAATTAATAATTGGTTCAACACAATTACCTAATCAACGTCAACGTAAAATTCCATTAAATCAATCAAATTCTAAATTAATTAATGAACATATATCAGTTAAATCGAATGGTTATGCTGTAATTGTTGTACCAAATACTGGAACAATAGAACGTAAGTATTGATTATTATGATCAATTTATTCTTAAATATGAATATAATGAGTATTTTGTAGTCAAGGGGGGAGGGGAACAATCGAATGTATTTGAACAATACAAAGTACAGAATATCTTCGTGAAAATCTACGAACCTTCTTTCATTTCCACACTAATCACTTTCTGTTCTTAACTTCCTACCATTAGGCTTTAGTGGTCCGTGGATCTGACTCCAATTAGATCGTATGAATGTTTGTTATCACATATCCTCGTATATCATCATCGACTTAAATCACGTTAGTCAATAACCGAATTAAATAAGTCAAATAACGAGAATGGACTTGTGAATACACGTATTTTGTATATAAAGCGGATGGAATAGAAAGAAGAGAAATGATGCAGAGCGAAGATGGCTGGTAAGCCAATTCCCATTTAACCAAGAGTTAATCAATATTTATAGTTACAAAAAAGTAAGTTACAGACATGTGATGAGTAATGGGATAAGAAATGTACACACGCCTACGCGATCATATAAAAACAGTCAGGATTGATAAGCGGATAATTAACAAGATCAGTGTGTGACTCAAGTAGAATGAATAAATGGGCTGTGCGAAAGCTAGAATAAGGTATATGGGCTTAACATAATGACCAACAATACAATGCATTCCACTTTCGATTGGTGATACATACTACTTATATCTATCGACATCAGTAACACACACTACACTATCTTAACCCTATTTTACTATTATTCTAACATAATTGAAGTTTTATCATAGAAAAATATTGTTCCTTTGTTCAACGAAATTCACTAGACAAAAGTGGTTTGAATAATTTTTTTTAGTTAGCGTTTTTTTAACAAGTTAGTTTTCTACTGGATGAGGTCGCTAATCCCATGCCCGACCCTCCTCCTTTATCCGGGCTTGCGACCGGCAGTAGCCACAGTGGGGCTCCAGGTGGAGTTCTAGACAAAAGTACTTATTCTAATCAACCAATTTATCATTATATTCATAACTTCTGATTATAGTTAATAGGGTAAAAAATGAATCAACAAAAATCGAACGTGGAAAATACTTGTTCTCTTATAGACAAAGATGAATGCTGACTAGCAGTGGAATCGAGGAGGTGCGTCTCACACTACATGGGTGTCACTACCTGGATTCAATATTATTATTGTAGTGAACGAGAACACAAGTGGGAACAGTCAAATGTAATTGAACACACAAATTACAGAATGTCTTAGTAAAATCTGTGAACCATACAGTAAATAGTTCATTTGCAAAAGGTCAATCAATTATCTTAAACTTGACTGTTCATTCGTTTCCACAACAATTATTCTCTGTTCTCATTCTGTTTTCTTTGATTTTCTTAACTTTTGCCGTAATGTATTTAACTTTTGATCAGTGATACATACTACTTACATCTGTCGACATCAATACAATACACAACAATTTAAGCTAATTCTGTGTATTCTTTACGATAAATTCTCTTCAGGTTCTACAATTATATAATCCAAATTAATAATCTGCAACAATGGCCAGGTTAAAGGTAAAACACTTCGTTTCAAGTTAAAACACCTAAACTGTAGGATTGGTAAACAAAATAGAATAAAATAGTTCGTGTTGGTAGGACTCATATGGAATGTTAACTTGAACCTGCTTATCTGTTAAGTGAAATGTTAAGATCCATGATCCGAATAAATATGGGGTCAGATAGGGTGGGAGAAACAATAGTGCAATTACAGTTCGATCAAATGTTTAGTGGAAGGCTATACTGTGTGAAAAAAATCGATTGTAAATAAGTAACATATTGACGAAATGTTCGATAGTTTTCAATGGTTATATATCTAGTAAAAACAGTTGACAATAAAAACTTCATCGAGTTGACTATGTCTCCATCTTCCACTTCATTCGGTGGTGCTCTAAGTTATTAGAAGCAGTTAAACAAAAAATCTTCCATGGGACCTAAAATCATTTAGTTCCACTTAACAAAGATATTTGTAGTGACGTTAGCATAAATGTGTCCGGAGTAGAATTGTAATTTTGACCTTCTTTAAATCCCAATTTTCGAAAGTAACTTTAAACTACTCATGAGTAGGTTAGACATACAAACCAAGTAATTCCTAAAGCATATTTTAGTTAGTGTCGGATAAAACCTGGATTTGAATACTTTTTATTTCCTAGAAGAAACTCCAGAGCTGAAAACAGAAAATGGTTGGATTGCTGAAAGGTTGAACAATGAATTAAATGAAGATTCATCTCCAACTGGTAAAGAGAAGCATAGTTCAACTTATCCAAGTCCAGCTACAAATGATAATGATGAAGGAGAAGAGGAAATAGAACTAGTTACAATAGAACAAACTTCACCAGATGTGAATATTACAGTAGATGGTGAGTTACATCAATAAATCAGAGTCAATCTTAATATAAATCTGATTAATACCATTATTTTATGTAATATGGGTGAATGTTGATTAGTTGACAATTTTTCAACTGTCGGTCAATATAGTAGCGGTTGAGGTAGTAAACGTATAAGCAGCAATCGGAAAAATTAGGGTTTGAAGATGTTATTCAAGGAGTATAATCCAGTGAAATAAATCTGGACGGAGAAAAACAAGAAATGGGTATGAAGAATTCAGAAGATTAGAATTTGGGAGAACACAAAGAGTGGATGCACCTGCGCCATTGCAAACGATTTTGAGCCATGTCATTCAAGGTCTCTAACCATCGGTTGCTATCATCTCGTGGTCCCCAACCAGGTAGTCTACACCTACCAACATGACTCAGTTCACTTGTCAGTGACTTCATGAACTTGTGTCATGTTTTGGTCTGGCCACCCCTAGCTTTCTTCCAATCTACTCCTATACAACAAAACATAGTACGTCGAGGCAGTCGGTTGTTGGGCATACGTAACACGTGTCCCAGCCATCTCAACTGATGAAGTTTCACTACTTCATCAATTGATTTGCCATCCATAACTAGTACCCGTTTCCTAACAACTGCATTACTTACTCGATGGTCCCAGGATATACGAGCAATATTTCGAAGACATCTATGATCGAATACTAGTAACCTGGGAATATCATCTACTCTTACCAGCCATGTTTCACTGCCATAAAGTAGGACGGAACGAACTGCAGCGCAGTAAACACGTCCTTCGGTTGATAGACGGATATCTCGCCTACGCCATAAATGACGCAAGTTGGCAAAAGCTAGTCGAGCTTTCTGTATCCGTGCTGAGATTTCGTCACACACCAGACCACAAGGGCTGATGAGACTTCCAAGATAAGTGAAGCGGTCGACACACTCAACTACTTCACTCCCTATCATTAATTCAGGTGTCGATGTAACCCAATCCTGAAGCAACATTTTTCATTTCGAGGGGGAGAATCGCATCCCGAACATGCTTGTATTGTTGCTTTAAGTGGTCAGAAGACTGCATTTTGTCATCGTCTTCACCAAATAGAACTATATCATCGGCATATTTTAAGTCAACAAGTGAATCCCCTAGTAGAATTTCAACACCTGTAAATTTAATTGAGGAAAGTGTTATTTCTAAAAGCACATCTACGATAAAGTTAAACAAGAATGGAGAGAGTGGGCAGCCCTGACGAACACCAACTGAAGTAACCAATTCTGATGACAGTTCGCCATAAGCTCTCACTCTACCAGTTGTGTTCGAGTAGAGAGCCTTTATAAGGTTAATGTACTTCTTTGGTACTCCTTTCAGTGACAAACACTGCCACAAAATCTCACGATCAACAGAGTCCAGAAATACTACTAATACTTTTTCACGATGTTGAAACTGAAGTTATGAAACAGTAGCTTAGCGATTGAGAGTATTATTTAGCTACAAATTGTTTACAGTCATAGAAAGTACAAATCCTTAAATGATCTCATATCGACATGACATGAATTGATAAACGTATACTGTTATCTCAAGCACAGATTTGAGTATTAGGTATTTGATCTCATTACCTTTGTGAAGGGTAGTATTAATATCTGATTGAATTAAGCACAGTAGTGTTATAACTTTTAAAAACCGGTATTTAGAACAACAAGAAATTGAAATATACATGGCACACTTAAGGACGAAGACAAAAAATTGATAACAACGTTAATTCAATTAACTCATTTATACATATATCGATTTTAATAGTATTTCATAACTACGAACAGTAGATATGATACAGAATTACTGCAAAACGCATCCCATTTGTTACATTGAACATACACAAGGAATATCACACTAAGCAAAAAATCACAATAATTTAAAGGATACAATATAGGAATTGACACTAGGCTGAAGGTTTGAAGGAAGATAGAGGATAGCAGGACTGTAATAATATGACTTATTTAGGGCTATTCAACCTTTATTCAGCAATTGCTTATGACCGTTGAGTCAGTCCATACCACTGGGTGCATTTCACACTATAGGAATATAACCAGTAGTCTATTATTTAGAGAAACTGAAGCGATTTACATTCTTTAGGTTGCCCTAACCATTTTTCTATCTTATACTAACCAACTTAGCAAGTTGGGTTATATAATTTGTTGATAAGCGCTAAACATATTCTAGCCGTGACATTCAACAGAAGTTTATAATTCCATTTCGGGGCCACACCCGGAGCCTTCGACTTAAAGGTCTAATCCACAAGGCAGTGGAGCAACGTTAGAGATGCAGTCCCATGGTAGTCGGTGACCCACAGTGGGTTCATACACCATTTGTCCCTTCAGGATCATGGAGTCCATGTGCACCATTGGTTTCGAATCAGGGTTTTACACCTCCCTTAGGTGGGGTAGATCCTCTGTATTCACCAACCTGGTTAAAGTGCCGGATATTCGCTTTTCATCTCACTTTCGTAAACAACACGTAATGTCACGAGAAGGTAGTGGGGAGGATTTCCCTGATATTGACTGTATACGCATGGCCATGTAAGATATTTCGAGAGGGAGAGCTAACTCCAGCTTAGTTTCGAATTGAGAACATTCTATGTGTTAGACAAAACATAATAACCATTACACCACAGAAACAACATTAGTTTGTTCTTCTTTTCTTTAATAAATTCACATACACACACTGTTTATTTTCTTTAACAACAACGAAAAAACGCGAACAAAATTCTTTCTTTTTTCTTTCTATTTACAGATATCTCCAACTAGATACTACAAATTAAATAGTTACCAAGTATAGTTACCCTATTTCTCTATTTCATATTATTTACACGTATAGAGGCATATTTGAAAGTTGGATCAAATTTTAATCATTTCGAAAATAGTTCTTCAAATGAACCTCCACTTTTTTTTAAAAAAAATTTGATTAATTTATTTTTTAAGTTACATACAATTCAACATTCAATGATTTGAAGGATCATAATTAATTATTGAACATTGAATACTTCAAATATGAAACTAGAAAAATGATAAACATAGAAATTTTTCAAGCAAAAAACCGAACAAAAAGAAATCAATTATTGATCATTAAATAAACAATTTGCATAGAAAGAAGAAAAAATTTTTTTGTAAATTTCGAATTTTTCTTCATGTTGATTATAAAACGAAAACAAAAAAAAACACAATTCAATTCAATAAAACAAATAATCATGTGAACTAATATTTATTTATATTAGGTAAATGATGGTAAGCAACAATATTTTCTTTTTCTTTTCTTTGGCTTCCATTCAGTCAGTTAGTCAATCAGTTAGCAACAACACAACAACAACAACAACAACACAACAACGTAGAACTTTGTACGTGTGTACATTACAGTTCCAGTTGTCATGCCATATTAGCTTCCATTAGTCTTTTTTAGAAGAAGAAGAAAAAAACTCGATATTCGATATAACAAAGTGATCTATATTTGTTTGTTTGTTTATTGTTGGGTAATATTTTGTTTATTGAATTTGTTCAATGTTGCTAAAAAAAGAAAAAAAACTTTTTTTTCCTAGTTATTCAATGTTATAATGAACAAACAAGAAATATTAATTGATATGCATGATTATTATTATTAATAATTTTTTCTATGTGACATATATTTATTTAAGTGGATTTTTGCAACGAGCCCCCAAATGCCCTGCTACGGCCGAGGGTAGGGAGAGTTAGCTTTCCCTCTCGAAATATCCTTACATGGCCATGTGTATACAGTCAATGTTAGGAAAATCCTCCCCACTACCTTTCGTGGTGGGGGTGCTGTTTACGAAATTGAGATAAAAGCGAATATCCGGCACTTTAACCGGGTCGGTGAATACAGAGGATCCACCCCACCTAAGGAAGATATAAAACCCTGATTCCAAACCAATGGTGCGCATGGTCTGCATGATCCTGAAGGAACAAAAGGCGTATGAACCAATTGTTGGTCACTGACTACCATGGGACTGCATCTCCTTATGCTGCCTTGTGGATTAGACCTTCAGGTCAAAGGCTGGGGATGTGGCCTGCTAAGAAAACCACCTGTTTCGTTCTGGGCACCCTACCAGTATCATAATACACATACAAATTAAGTGACTTGTGTGGCGCATATCTATTCGGT